TCTATAGCTCACTGTGACCTAGCTTCTCTATTAGCAATATAGATCAGCATTGTTGCCATGGCGATTGTCTCTTTTGTCCTCGTTGTCTCTGGGGGGAGTAAAGGAGAATCCCTTCTAGGGGGACTTGATTCAGTTTGGGACTCCGCTGGGACTCCACATCCGCAGCGTGTCATTACAGGAGCTGGAATCCGATGGGCCCATTTTCTCCCCCCTATATTTAAAGCGCTGACTGCCGTGTGTTTGCTATCGCGACTCGTCTCTCTCTCGCGCGCTTCGTACATTCTGAGAAAAACCTCCCAGCTGCACTTCATCTCTGTCGGCCGTGTGCGGCCTCCTCGCCCTCGTCTCCCACCTCGCCGCGTCTCCGCACCACCACCCCTTCAGGACCGCAGGTCCCTGTCTGTGGGAGCTGCTGAAATCCTCCCACTCCAGCGTGGGAGAGAGTTCCGTGAGCCCGCTGTGCCCGCTGACCTGGATTAGAGAGAGAGGACGGACCTAACAAGATACTTACCAAACCCCCCCCTCCCTCGTCACCCCGGCGGCCTGGGACGCCGTGACACTGGCGAAGCTTAAGCAGCCGACTCGATCTCAGGCAACACAGCAAATAGTCCCCCTCCCCCCCCCCCGAACGCTCCACACAACGTAACTGGTTACGATAACAGAGCATGATAGGAACAACAATATTGTGTGTGTGTGTGTGTGTGTGTGTGGGGGGGGGGTGGGGGGGAGTGGATAACTCCACCAGGGAAGCCTGCTGATTGTCAAAGATGGAGGATCTGCTCCACTGTAGATCCTCGAGCAGCTGTTGTACTGACACCAGTATTCCTCCTCCCGGCCCCAGCGTTTAGACTGATCCTCTTAAAGGGATTCTCCACCCAACTCTCCTCTTTTTTTTTTCAGTGTCAAACCCCCTGTAGGCCTGAAAGGGTGAGTGTGTTGGAATAGTGCTACGGCCTGTTTTTCCCGGGGACCCAGTTTTTTTTTATTATGACGAATCACCGCGACCCAATTCATGACAGGCCTCGTCTATAAATCACGCCACGGGTTTATGGAACCAAGGAAATGAACACTCGTCGTTTTTTTCTTGCATCCCTTTGCATTTTCTGTTGTTTTGTGGCGTTACTGTTATCAGAAGCTCGTGAATCTTCAGACTCCCTCTTGTAGCTCAAAGCTGCACTCATGCTACTCCGGGAATGTATAGAAAATATGACCTATTAGGTGAATAGAAAAGTGTGCAGATATTTAACCAATGGGGTGAGGACTGGGGAAGTAGATCAAGGTCAGAGCTCTCGGTGTCTCATGCTGCATACGAATGGGGGCCGTTGGGGGGGGGTTTTGGGTGATAGATGACATGATGTTAAAATAGTGGAATGTTATCCTCGTGGTTCGACATCTTACCAAAAGTCGCTCCACGTTTTTCGTAGGTGCACCTGCACAGTTGCTGCGCTGTTTTCTTCATCTCGTCGGCGTAACTTAAGTCTGTTTGTCATGACATTTTAGGAAACGTTCACATTTGACAAGTCTCCTGCTGTTCCGTCTATAGCCGGTCCAGTCTGATTGCGGCTCGACGGCCTTTTTACGAATCGAAGAGCCATTTGAGACGGAGTGGAGTCTGTCACCCTGAAGGACTGACTCGTATTGATCCGCCTTCTCTATAGGCGAATCGATGCGGTTTATTGAGCCGGTGTAATGCCGGCGGGGAGGCTGAGCAATGCGTATATGGGAGTAAAGAGGAGATGTCGCTGGGACCCAGCGGGGTCCCCGATTGGGGAATCGGGCCTCGGAGTGATGGCGGCGGGGGGTTGTGGGCTCGGGGGCCCTCGGTCAGCCGGGGGTTCGGTTGACGGGTCGGAGGCCTGATTGACTGGCTGCCTGACCGGGGGGGGGGGGTAGACTCTGCTGAGTCTGAGCGATCCGTCTTCCCAGACAGCACCGGGGCGAGAGGACCGTTCTCGAGGGATGATGGGTAATAAATGACTCTGGGAGGGGGTGTCGCCTGAGGGCCGGCGGTGACTGACAGCCGGCCGGCTTCGTTTCTCACAGGCGTTGGAGTCTCTGCGTCTCCTGGGCCTTTAAAGAAAACGAAGAGGGAAGAAGCGCTTGATGTTTTGCCGTCAGATTGGCTGCCGTGGAAGTTCTGCAAATAACCACTCGTGTGACGGATTAGAAAGATTGCGTTAGTTGCTGATCTGTCATTCACTGAAACCGAAACACTCACTGAGGAACCTGCTGATAACCTGCTGTAAAACCGGCTGGGTGGGAAAAGCACAACTACTATTGTTCATTGAAGACATCAGTTCACTCGCCCAAATTCAGTGCATTTCATTTTTCCCCTCTGCACGATATTACTCGTCCACTCTGAACGGGTTGTTAACGTTGCATGAGGTAAATGGAAAGTAAGTTAAACTGTTTTAAGAGGAATTTAAATGCAAAGTCATCGTGCGGTTGGACGCGAACGTCCGTCTGTGAGGGGAAGTGTTGGCACCACGGCGCCGGAGAAGCTCGCTGCAAAGTGCAGTAAACAGTTGACAATTTTCCAGTCGTGCAAAAACGATAGCGATCAAAGGTCAAAAGTCAAAAGTCCTGGAAATACTTTTGTTATCCTGGAAAATGACGATCCCTCTCACACGTTATCTTCCATCCAACCAAAATAGAGACAGTTTCTGTTTTTCTTTAATGACTCTTTGATCAACCAGTCCTTATTTCTGAGAAGAGACGTTTGACTGACTGAAATGTGCCCTTCAAACGCCTGAAAGTTCCTGGGTTTTTGCATGAGTACACAAGTACGGTACACAAAGGCCTTTTAATGTTAAGGAATGCACCAGGGTGCCGTCTTTCAGGTTCCTTCTCTGTTGAGCTACATCCCGGCCGCGGGGGAACGGCCGGCGAAGGACGGGTCGCTTGTTACCGCGGTTTCCTAATTTAAGAGATGCAGGGTGACTAATAATGCCAGGAGTTGTTCCCGCAGGGAGAGGTAGTCACGGTAACCCGGGGCGCGGTGGTGACAATGCCCTCGATTGTGGGATTGTGGTCTAATTGTCTCGTTCAAACTGTAGCTCAGTGCAGCCGGAGGAGCCTAGCGAGCTCGGCCCACACGGGCCTCTCTTTACAACGAAACGACCAGAACTTTAATCTCATCCCTCAGAGTCCAAATCAATTAGGTGGGCGGCTGCTAAAGCATTCGGCTCGTCGTTTTGATCGACTCACCTGCAGCGCCACTCGGGCTCCGGGGGGGCGGGACTTGGATCAGGTTTGGCAGGTGAGCGGACAGGTGCAGAAATAGATATCTGTGTGTGTGTGTGTGTGTGTTTGGGATCCAGCTTTGAAGTACTTCTGTAGGGCGTGTGTGTGTGTGTGTGTGTGTGTGTGTGTGTGTTTTGCTTCGCCACAAAGCTCAGTCTAGTCCCCATTGCACACGCACCCTCGGGGGAATTGCGAGGGCAGGGTTTGTTGTGGCATCGACCGGGTCGTGCGTGGGGATTTTTTCCGTTGGCTCGCTCTTTGGACTTTGGATGCGTGACGCTGAGCGGCCGGAGGTAATGAACTCTGAATACACGGCGTTGTTGTAAGCTTGATTAAAGACTTCAATGGGAGACTTCATTTACTTGTTCCTCTACTCGCTGCGTACTTCCTGCCCCCCCTCCCCCCCCCTCTTGGTTTGTGAGATTTTAATGAAGAAAAACCTGTGAGTGTCAGCTCGTCTCTCCGCTGCGTCGGCAGGATCCTGTTTGTTGTTAAGCGGCTTCATATGAGGGCACGGTTTGGCTCTCGGGTAACCACGGCTACGCCACGTTCCCACGGGCACCAGCCCCCGCGTCTCCGTCTGCCCGGGGCCTGTTTGTCTTTCCCAGGAGCGACCCCGGCCGCTCTCGGGTCAAAGGAGTTCCTCGCTTGCGCTTTTACTGCCCAATCGCGCGCTCGATCACAGGCCGAGCGTTTTCCTCCGCCGTACCCTGGAGTCCTCGCTGCTGTGTCGTCTTTTATTCCGTTGTGCTGCAGAGGTTCGCCCTCTTCCACGGCGGTTAGACCCCCTCAAATCAGCTGCGGCGGGGCCCTGGTGGGGGCAATGTTTGGGCCGTAATCCAGTTGAGGAGGACTAGAACGAATCCACGAGGCCCCCGCAGGAGCGGACCAGTGCGGCTGTAGGTTGGACACTTATTAACATAATCTTCCGTGGGACTTTTGTGCTGGACGGACACATAAAAACCGCCCCGAAGCCGCCGCCGCGTCCCCACCGTGTGTCTCTAGAGGGCACACACACAAAAGCTGGATTTCTTTCCCCTTGACTGGTTGTTTTTCTGCAGCTGTGCGTTACCAAGTCACATGACCTCTCTGGTTTTTAAAGGTGCAGCTTGAGCCGGGCGCCACGGCAAGAATCTTATCACGTTTAGATGATCTAAGATAATTCTGAGCAGATGTAGATGATGTCGAACCTCCATTGTTGTCCAGGAACTCGTCATTGAACCGCACTGGAAGACACGCCCCCTCATATCCGGACAACATTGGCACCGTCGTTTATTTATAGTTTAAACTCTAACTGCACCGTCCTGGTGGTAATAATCAGCACGAGCTAAAAATAGACCTAAAAAATGTTTTTTTGCTCAAGCTGAGGTTCGGTTGCATTGACCGATGGATGCGGCAACGTATGTTTTCCACACGCACTCCACACACACGCGTGTCCAAGGTGTCTTCGCCTAAGTGGCGATGGGTGTGTTGTTGTGACTTGAAATCAATACCTTTCAAATTGAGTATTTTTAGATTCTCCCTCTCTGTGTGCGCAGAGAAGATTAGATTCCGTCAGATACGGAGCCCGTCAGGGAGAAACCAATATGCATCACGGTCGATGCTGCAGAGATTCTCTGGTCCCGCTTCTTCCTGTCCGAGGGCGAAGGTCCTGAAACGCACACCGGCCTCAAGGTCGCTCACCCAGCGCGCCGCCGCTGATACTGCCATGATGCTGTGTGAACCGGTCGCTGATCTCCTCTTGATCTTCCCTGCAGACCTGCCCGCCTCCTCCCTGCAGTACCAGTGTGGATCGGTGGACTTCCTGTGTTCCCCGCCGCTGGCGAAGAAAGGTCAGACGCCCAGACAATGTCAGGACAGGCCCGCCGTCAAACCCCGGCCCCAGCCCTCCACCTCGCCCAGACCGCCAACCGCACAGAAACCTCAAGGTGAACCCGCCTGACCCGCCTCCTCCCTCTCCTTTCAAGGGTGCGTCCGACGCAGTCATTGTGATTTAAAGGCGCGGCGAGATCAAACCTTTATTCGTTTATTCTGCTCCGTCGGCCGTGTGACCTCACTGTGTCGCTCAGTGGGTCACCTCCGAAAGAGCTGCCGCTCCCCGACGCCCGGGCGGCTTTTTAAGAAGGCTAAATATAGACGACAGGCGTCCCGTTGGGATTTACTGAGATTGGTTCACAGTCCACCGTTTTTTATTGCACACTTTTTCAGGTTGGGCGCCGGCTATTTTTGTCATATAAAAACGCAACAATAGTCAATTTGCAATCATATGCGTGTTTCCTCTTGTTTTTGTCCTGTGATCTGTAGTTTGCAGTGATGGTTCGAGTTCTGCATCCACTAAATTCCCGATGGGCTACCAGTAGAATAAAAGGAAAAAAACATGAATTTGAATAGTTTAATATTTAAAAATGAACATGAATAGGCTTTAAGAATAAAAGTATTCCGTCAATTAGAATCCAGGAATCTAATTAGTATTTTCCCAGGAGGCAGAATGAGCTGCTTTATTTCCAAGCACAGTTGTAATAATGCAGCGCATTTTAATACAGACGGGATGAAGCAGCCCATCCTAAGGAGGGATGCTGGCTGGGCTCCTAATCCCTTTTTAAAAGGTTCCTGCGACGGCTCTTTGGGTCCGATAATGTTAAAGCATGTAACATCTCCCTCTTCCCTCTCGGCCTCTCTTTTCCTGTCAGTGACACACACACACACACACACACACAGGAAGTGGCAAATTATTAACGGTAGCAATTAACGGTAGCATGTCGTTCCTGGTTTCACACACTTCTGACGAAACACATGTGTGCAAATGTAGCGGCGAGACAGCGAGGCCGCCGCGCGCAGCCGTGCATGGGCGCCGTTTTGCATTTTAGAGACAACTCTGCCATTCCTCTGTCTGCGCTGTTTTTTGTGCTGTCTGTGTGCTCTGTCTCTCTTTTTTCTTTTTTTTTCTTTTTTTTTGGAACCGCGATGACTTACGCACACGCACCTCTCAGCATCCTGTTCTGAAATAAGGAAGTTGGCAGACAGCCGTAGCTCAGAGTTGGTCTCGCTCTGCTACTATTTGTTTAATTGTGGGGGGGTTTTTACACCTTTTGTTTCTTCGAGTCTTTTTAAGATTATCTATCGTTTTTTTATGAGGGAACGGCACATGCATCCGGCCATGGAGGTTCTGTCATTTGGATTCCTTGCCGTTACCTGATTGTTGCTTTTGAAAGTCTGCGGCTTCATGCTTCTCTTTCGCTCTGCCGCTCTTGCCTCCTCCGGACTCCTGCGTCCGTAGTGCCCCCTAAACCTTCGCACCTGCTCGCCCTCGGGCAAGACAAGAAGCCCAAGAGGATCCCCCCGCCGCCGTCCAGACCCCTGCCGGCCCCCCCTCCGCCGCCCAAACCGAGGCCCGGACTCGCCCCTCCTGCCTCGGGACCGCAGCCGCAGATAGAGGCCCAGAAGGTGGGGCTGCTCATCGAGAGGTTCGAGAACTCAAGGTAAGGCCTTCGTGTGTGTGTGTGTGTGTGTGTGTGTGTGTGTGTGGGGGGGGGAGTGTATGTGTGTGTATATGTATGTATGCGTGCATGCGTTTGTGTGTGTGTGTATGAAAGAGGAACCAGTGTGTTAATGGTGCTCTTTCTCTCAGGGTTCCCATCCTGGGGGTCCTCCCGCGGTCCCAGCTGCACTTGTGTCTGAGAATGGACGCTGCGTCGGACGTCACTTCCTCCTGCGGCCTGGACCCCGCGGAGAAGGTCGCGGGAGACTCCTCCCCCGCGGACAAACTTGCACTTGGCGCCTCGGAACGGACTCACGAGGTGTCCGACCTCGGCCGCCCGGCCTCCGCGCACGCCGACGGCTCGGAGGACGCCCCGCTGGACGACTGCGACATCGCGCACTCCGTCGGTTGCCTCGGCGACGTGGAGCGGGAAGGGGAAGGCTCCTCCCACGAGCTCCTGGACAATGCGGACTCCTCGGAGCAGCACGGGAAGATCCCCAACCGGGACAGCGGCATCGACAGCCCGTCCTGCGCCGCCGAGGGGGAGGTGTTCCCCAACGAGGACGCCATCGACGAGGAGGACCATTACGACAGCGTCACGGAAACGGAGAGCGTGTCCTGCTGCGTCACCCTGGGCAACAAGCGGGACTCGACGCAGGACGAGGACAGCGACCTGGACGAGGGGAGCGGCGGGGAAATCCAGTCGCTGGCGGAGGCGCAGGCCGGGGATCTGACGGACGGCCACTCAGGGGCGCACAGGGTGAGTAGCTGGCGTTGCTGTCTGCAGTTGTTACTTTTTACCTGGCGTGATTCTAAGGAATGTGGGGAGTGAGCACGTGCCGCTTCGTCTCAGACGGCCTTTCATGCGGTTTGGAAAAAGGAGCGCGCGTCTATTATTACCTTCGGCCCGCGTGAACCAACTTCAAAGGCTACTTCTGCATGAAACGCTGCAGCCGCGTTCCGGCGGTCACGAGCGACTGACTCGTATCTAAAAGCAGCTCCGCGTCGACATGAAAAGACGAATACCTGCCCGAAAGCTGCAAACGGGAGCCCGTGATGGCTGCTAGATGAAAGAGTCCACAGGCGGATGTCTCCGGATGTCTCTTCTCTCGTCCTTCAGCTTGACTATTGATCATAAACAACGCTGATACGTGCACATAACATTCCTGGTGGTTCTAGATGTGCTGTCGGTGTTTAACAGCAGAAAACTTTTAGTTCTCAAACAGACAACATTCAAACTACGACTTTCTCAGAACTGCCTCTAAAAGACCCTCGAAGGCCTCGGCCGACCGCGCACACGCACGCACGGCACCTCCGCTCTCTTCTTCCTGATCCCAGCGACACAGGAAGTTGTTTGTGTGACTACGGTCACGTCGATGTGTAGCGACAGCTGCGTTCGGGTTGCGGTGACATGTGTTAAAGCAGATTAACACAGTTTCTCCTGCGTGACAGTGCATGATCTGCGGGGAAAGTTCCACTTCCTTTATGAAGGACGCCTGCGCGCGTCTTTGCGTGGGAGACGGCGGTTGCGCGACCAGCACTGCCGGATCGTGATGTGCGCGTCTCATGTTTAATCGCTCATTTCCACCATCATCAAATCGCAGCCAGACGGACCGTTGTCTCCCGACTCCCGATTGCGTTTCTTTATTTTAAATAAAGACACCCGGCGTTGCTCCCGGAGGACGTTTTGTGTCACTCTGCTGGTCCTTGAAGCCCCGGTGATGACCTGCTCCTTGTGTCTGTCTCCTCCCCGCAGTGCTCAGAGACTCAGAACCTGCTGAACATCGCCAAAGAGCTCCTCCACACCGAAGAGGCCTACGTCAAACGACTCAACCTCCTCGACCAGGTAACGGCTCCCGGCGCGGCGCCAACGTTCCGGATATCCGCCCGCCTGAGTGTGCCGGTGGTTTTTAGGGATTGAGATCGGGGCCGAGCGGGATTAACGGGGACGACAACCCCTTCCTCTGGATTACTCACAGTGGAGGCTCCATCGCTGTGTGTTTTATTCTTAATGTACGTGCAGTGTGTGTAAATACAGCGAAGCCGCAGTCCTCTTTCACAACCTTAAATAGGCGGATAAAAATAGGAACATAAACAAAGCACATCACTACAGGAGAGTTGTAGGAATCACTTCCTCTGGTTCTTTCAAGATCACTCGTTGGACGCAATATCAATTTTATGATGTCAGTCATTCAGGACGATCACGCTAACCGCTGTCGCCTCGACAACTGTTAGAATTTAGCGCTGAGCTAACAAGACGCAATCCTCTAAAAAAGAATAAGTTGACATTGTGAAAGCCCTCGTTTTGATTTTAATTAACAGTTTATAACCTAAATATATGCAGTTTACCATCATTGACCACAAAGTAGAGCTGTACGTGTTTACATGTATGTTCTGCTTGAACATGGGCTTAAAGGTGCATTGCTGACCCCCACGCAGTGCTGCACACCGCTCCTCTAACCGAGCGCTTCATTACCCGAACAACCCATTCGGTCATCGCCCACTTTTTTTTGTGAACAGGTTATTGCGCCTTCATTTTCCGCCATCTTTGGGTGGGGAAGTCACTCGCGGGCGGGCGGAGGCCTCTTCCTCTTTGCTCAGTTCGCCCGCCGATGCGACGCACCTCTCAGCGCATCGCAGGCCCGGTTGTGGGGTGTTTGCTAGTGAGTTGACTGGGGCCTCGCACTTCAAGCTTCCTGTTTTTGTGCCTTTTGCACTTTTCGCGCAACACGACAGGGGTGGCAACCGTCTAGCGGAGGAGGAGGTGATGGAGGCAGTGGGGGCCAGATCTTATCTCAGGCCGTCGGGTTTCATTTCAAAACGGAGCCTGAACTTTGTTAGCGTGCCACTGGGGGGGGTTTGAACCTGCTGAATAATGTGGAAATTAATAGGCAGCAATTCTGATAACAATCCTCTACTCCTTTGCAATGCAAAGGTGATTCACATCTGAGTCAAAATATGAGGTTGAAAAATGTCATGGGAAAAAAGTGAAACTATTTTAGGTCAAAAAGTGTTTTGAAAAAAATCTAAATATGTTAAAATTAGGTAAAAAATATCAGGTCAGCAAATGTTTTGCGATAAAGTCATTGTTAAAAATAAAAAAGTTAAAATATGTCGAATAGGTTGAAAAGGACATGAAAAACACATAAAACGATATGAGGTCAAAAAGTACTTAGATCACTGTGACATCTTCTGGTTCTTCCCTGTAGCTTCCCCGCAAAGCAGAACCAAAACATTTCCAGCCGCTGCTCTACGGATCTAAAAGCCTTCTGAGAGGAGATGGAAATATTCTTTTTTTTTTATTATTCCTTATTATAAAAGTGCCTTATGTGTTTTTATTTACTTTATTTGTGTTTACTGTGGCCTTCAACGATTTTATGACATTTAGACTTTAGAAGAAATAACCGTTAGATGCAGCACTAATGTGTCATCGGTTTTATTACAAATATCAGCAGGAAATGCATCCGTTTACGTGGATCAACAACATGGAAACTTCTCCGTCGATGTTTGCATGCCTGCTTCAAGAACCCGACCCCGATTTGGAGTGTTTGTAAACGACCTTGTTGACGGGTTTTTTTTCCTCCGCAGGTATTTTGCACTAAGCTCACAGAGACTGGAATCCCTCAGGACGTGATCACGGGCATCTTCTCCAACATCTCCTCCATCTACTGCTTCCACGACAAGTTCCTGCTGCCTGAGCTCAAGACGCGCATCACCGGAGAATGGTGAGGAAGGCCTTCTGCTCTCCCTCTGGTCTCTTTGTCCGTGCCGGAGTCGCAGACCTGCAGACTCGGGAGATAGTGACTCCTCTAGAGGACGCCGTTTGAGGGGACAGCGCGCCGCTTTGCGATGCCCCACGTTCTTTCCTGGAACACATGAAAGTGTCAACGCTTACAAAGTGTGTAGAAACAACCACACGGCTACAGTGAACCTCGGGAAGAAAGGTCATTGGAGGGATTGAGTTGTGTAATTCCCCTCGGTATGTGCTTGAGATAAGGCATTTTATGAGCTGTCGTTCGTTTCCGCCTTCTGAAAAACAACATCATTGCTTCTTATCTCTGTGGCGAGATGATCTCCATTGGTCACAAAGTGTTATTCTTTGTTTGTGAATGACGTACGTCGAGAGGAATGATGTGAATCTGATAAAGCCAACCTTTAACCCCGCTTCACAGAGCTTGACCTTTTGAGCTGCAACGTGTTGCACGACGAAAATGACATATTATAGTAATATAAATGCATTGGATAAATATATATATATTAATATATGAAAGCTACTTGACAACTCGTTCAACATACACTGTGCATGTACTGCATTGTCAAATCAAGCCAATAAACATGTTAAAAACATGCAAATTGTGGAGCGTTGGCAGAAAGCCACACCTATCGTCGGATGTCCAAACTCTTCGATGCGTGTGTTTGCTGCAGGGACTCCAACCCTCGCATCGGAGACATCCTGCAGAAACTGGCTCCCTTCATGAAGATGTACGGGGAATACGTGAAGAACTTCGACCGGGCCATGGACCTGGTCAACACGTGGACACAGCGGTCCTCTCAGTTCAAGAGCGTCGTCCAGAACATACAGGTACGGGCTTGTACTTCAACTGCGAGTATTTCGCAGCGTTTTCTAGCGTGTTTCTGTTTTGAATAACACAAAGCTGGTCTTACAACCAGATGATCGGATGGCATACTTTGTGACAGAGTTACAAAGAACATTTTTTCCATCAGCTTTTTTGTTTTGTGTTTGAACCGACAGAAGCAGGACGTGTGCGGGAACCTGACGCTGCAGCACCACATGTTGGAGCCGGTCCAGAGGATTCCTCGCTACGAGCTGTTGCTCAAAGACTACCTGAAGAAGCTGCCCGGCGACGCTCTGGACCGGAAAGATGCAGAGAGTGAGATATTTCGCCTGCATTCTACCGTAGAGATCCGGTTAATTTAGCCGACCTCTGTGGTGCGTATCGTCACGGCGAGGTATCGGACCATCTTCGTGCCACCTCCAAACACAATCTCGTCTCATTCCATGCACTTCACACTGCGACAGTCCTTGACTAGAGACGGATCACAGACATCAGGTCAAAGCGACGCTCTTAAAAACGTCACCCTCGCCTCGCTGCGTGGTTTGTCGGTGGAGTTTTTTTTTTTCTCATCCGCTCAGTTCATCGCTTTTGTTTTTGTGGCTCGTGCCTCGGCCTCTTCTGTTTATGTAGGCCGCGATCAAGATGGCCGACTCGGGTGCTCGCGGGTCTCACTGCCGGCAAAAAGCCAACGTAATGCACGTGTTTGATTCATCTTTTTCCTCCTGTTCGATCTATAGAATGAAGCCAGAGTGACCGGTTTTGTTCCTCCCCGGAGCAATGAACATATTGCTTGTGTGTTTCAAAAGAGGACTGATTCATATCTGCATTTCTTTTCTGGATTTTAGGATAACAATGTGTGTGAATGCTTGTTACAGAGGCGGTGGAGCTCATCTCTACTGCAGCCAACCACTCCAATGCAGCAATCAGGAAAATGGTGAGACAACTTCCCTCTTTCTAACTCTTCCCCCCCCCCCCCCCCCTCGCCGCGGCGAGGTCTGTAAAAAAAAGTGTTGCTCAATCAAACAGCCGCCGGCGCTGAGCTGTCGGTCGTCCACTTTGCGAAGCGTTCGTCTGAGGGAGCGAACACAAGTTGAATTAGTACAGACAGGAAGTTACCATTTCCTGCCTCGAGCTGCGCAGCTTGCAGGCGGCCCGGCCGTCTTTTTAACAGTGTTTCCTCTGTCTGGCCGTGTTACTCGTACTCACTTAAAAAAAACCAACTCAAGCGACTAATGTGTTGAATCAATGAGGAAATATAATACCTGCCTTCCTGCCCGGCTTGTCTCACCTGAAGAGAAAAATAAAGCCCTTCCTGTCTTCTAACTCTGTAATTCTTTGTCCCTCCTCGTCCCCTCGCCTCATGCGTCCTCAGGAGAAGATGCACAAGCTGCTGGAGGTTTACGAGAGGCTCGGAGGAGAGGAGGACATCGTTAACCCGGCCAATGAGCTCATCAAAGAAGGTCACATCAAGAAGATGTCAGCCAAAAATGGAACAGCACAAGACCGATACCTCTACTTGGTGAGAGAGGACCGTTAGAATGTCAGAGCGCTGGAGGATCTGTGTTATCGGCACTGATGATTAAACTGCGTTGTCCATCTCCGCTCTAGTTCAACAACATGGTGCTTTACTGCGTGCCTAAACTCAGGCTGATGGGACAGAAGTTCAGCGTCAGAGAGAAGATCGACATCGCCGGAATGGAGGTGAGGCTGCCGGATGGGCTTTGTTTTTGTTTTTCCTCAAGCCTTCCGTTCATTCTGATAGCATTGGATCTGACTTCCTCTGTTCCTCTGTCCTCAGGTGCAGGAGAATGTGAAGCAGAACCTTCCTCACACCTTCGCCATCATCGGCAAGCAGCGATCGCTGGAGCTGCAGGCGAGGTAAAGAGATTTAAATCAGCCTCCAGAGAAACGTCTGAATATTATGATGGATATTGATAATTGTTGTTTTATTGTGTTTAAATAAACGTAGTTCAAGTTCATGTTTATGTCTGTATATAAATTGTTTAAATTATTTGAGATTTTAAAAAGAAGTTTAAAAAGTAACAATAACAATAAAACATTCCAGTCATTTTCGCCCAGTGAAACATCAAACTAATGTCACATTTTCTTTTGTGATGGTGGCTTCACTAGCTTACTACTACTGGTTGTAATCTCTGAGAAACATGTAACTAACCTTTCAACTGCCGTTATTATCTCTTTTACTCACAAATCAGCTTAGCCGGTTTGCTTGTTAGCTAGCCACGTAATGTAGCATTAGACGTCCTACCTCATGTAGCTAAGTAGCATGTAAGGTATCATTAGACATGCTACCTAGCCACGTAATGTAGCATTAGACATGCTACCTAGCCACGTAATGTAGCATTAGACATCCTACCTCATGTAGCTAGGTAGCATGTAAGGTATCATTAGACATGCTACCTAGCCACGTAATGTAGCATTAGACATGCTACCTTCTGTAGCTAGGTAGCATGTAAGGTACCATTAGACATGCTACCTAGCCACGTAATGTAGCATTAGACCTGCTACCCTGCCACGTAATGTAGCATTAGACATGCTACCTTGTGTAGCTAGGTAGCATGTAAGGTACCATTAGACATGCTACCTAGCCACGTAATGTAGCATTAGACATCCTACCTCATGTAGCTAAGTAGCATGTAAGGTATCATTAGACATGCTACCTAGCCACGTAATGTAGCATTAGACATGCTACCTAGCCACGTAATGTAGCATTAGACATCCTACCTCATGTAGCTAAGTAGCATGTAAGGTATCATTAGACATGCTACCTAGCCACGTAATGTAGCATTAGACATGCTACCTTCTGTAGCTAGGTAGCATGTAAGGTACCATTAGACATGCTACCTAGCCACGTAATGTAGCATTAGACCTGCTACCCTGCCACGTAATGTAGCATTAGACATGCTACCTTGTGTAGCTAGGTAGCATGTAAGGTACCATTAGACATGCTACCTAGCCACGTAATGTAGCATTACATATGCTACCTCATGTAGCAAGGTATCAAGCTAACAAACTGCTCCCACATACACCCAGTTAGCTCCTGTTAGCTGATGTCAACTAGCGGCAGCTCAAAAGGCTAAACTGTTTAGATTAGGATTATTTATTCAGTAACTTGTGCCTTGCACTATTAGAGATCAATATTTGAGTAGTCAAAATTATTTAATTGTTTTTAATCTGTTATTTGCTTTACAGAACCGCTGAGGAGAAAGAAGATTGGATTCAGGCAAGTATCACACACACGCTCGGGTAGATATAGGCAAATAATACACACACACCTTTCTGTGACGCAGACATAGTGTCCCTTTGATAGTTCTTCTTTATTAGAATGAAAATTCTATCATGTAATCGCAGTGAAACGCTGATGCCTCTGATCAATAATCCATTTCTTTCCATCCCTCCTCCTCTCTTTCTGACTCCCAGGTGATCTTGGCCACAATTGAACGCCACAAACAAAACAGCGAAACCTTCAACAAAGCGTTCAACAGCTCCCTCTCCCGGGACGACGACCAGCACCCCCCCGAGTCACCGGTAAATCTCACTCTCCCATAATCAATCAGTGCATTGATCGGCCGCTAAGCGGCTCGTCCTGTGCGCTGACTCACGGTGCAACAAGCACCTTCGTCACAGTCTGGTCTTTGTGTCTCCCATCTATGGATGTGGTTCGGACCACACACACACACACACACACACACACACAGAAAGAATCTCTTTCTCTTTCGTCCGTGACAGCTGCACACGAAGCGTCTGTGAGTCTCTTCTCCCAGAACTCTCTCATGACCTAATAGGGAAGGAACAGGTCCAAGTGTATACAAAACTCTTATGGATCTGCTTTGACCCACTTTGGGGCCCCGACTGGAGCTGCAGGCGGGCTGGACGTAACTTTGGACTTGATTCAGAAGGTCCAGGCTGACACCTAGTGGTGGAGGAACCTGACTTCAAAGCAGGAGGAGCTGATGCTCAGTTTGTTTGTTTTTTCTCTCCAGGGTCTCTGGTGCAACACGTCCATCGACTCAGACGGCGAAAGACTGCATGAGAGGGTAATCTACGATACTACGAAAGAGATGATTCATCTCCTTTCAGAAATGTAGCATCCTCGTCCAATCGAGGGCAATAATGGTCTGTGTCGCGTCGCCTCCTCTCTCCCACTTGCTTCATTATCTCATTTTTAGTTCTGCACACTAGCAAACTACGTTGAAGTTAATCAAACTACCGCAAACCATTTGCCGCGCGGCGAACCTGACGCCCTGCAAAGGGAACGTGATCAAACTTTGAACAGGACAAAAAAAAGCCAAGCCGCCCGAGTTTGCGTTATTCTTGTTTAATAACAGCATGCTGCTCGTCTGAGTTAAAGAACAGATATGAGATGTTAATGATCAGAATACTGCTCGATGAACTAGTCATGTCAGCCCCTTCAGCTGGTTTTATCGCCCAACCCTTCTCTGTTTCCTGTGAAAACACCTTCGTAGGTTAACCAATTGTGTCCACAGGCTAAAACAGTGTCTCTGTCCTTTTGTCTTGGAACCTTACTCTTAATAAAACAGACCCCTTGGCTGATAAATGAGCCACATTCCCACCGTGTCCAACAGAGCATTTATAACAACCATTTAACAGCCAGGGGACACCTCCATCTGACCCCCACCTTGTTTTCTCTAAGAGGCGGGGCAGCCTGTCTCCGTCGTGCTTAATGGAAAAAAACAAAACGAGCCGTCAGACATTCCTCCAGTTGTGCAGAAACTGAACAGACTGAAGACCTTGACACATTTTCTTTTCTTTAAAAAAAAATATATATATATATATTTTCCAGAAGAGTTCCAGGAAAAAGGAGAAAGAGAAACAAACGTGCAAAGGCTGCAACGAGAGCTTCAACTTCACCAAGCGCAAACACCACTGCAAGTCCTGCGGCGCGGTGAGTGGCGGGGGGGGCGGGAGCAGAAGATACCCGGGTGCTGTTTGGGCGGGATGGAGAGACGGATGGAGGGAAAGATGAGGGGGGGGTGAGGTAACTGCTACTGAGCCGCTTCTAACTGCCCCTCTCTGTCATTCTGCAGTCCATCTGTGCAAAGTGTTCAAAGAACTTGGACAACAAGACGAGCCGCATGTGCCCCGAGTGTTTTGAAGCCAGCGTCAGCCTGGACACTGTCAGCGTGAGCGAACAGAAGAGGAAAGCTGCATCTGAGGTGAGACAAAACAACAACAACAACAACAAGCGATGACGCACGAGCAGCTGGTGCAGTTTCTGTTTGTTTTCATGTGCCTCCATTCACGGCAGTCCGGCAGGACCGCGAACAAGCCTTCACTCAGCTCATCCGCAGTGAGATCAGTGACCACATGGGGGCGCTGTACGCCACGCGAGCGTTAGACAAAGGGGACAACACCTCCGCGTACAAATCTCTCTCTGTCCTACATTGTAGTTTCGTAACGGGGGAGCAGCGGAAATCCTGCGCGGTCACAGAGTTAAAATCCCCGAAACATGATTCAAAAACACGATTTACTGCGTCTGTAAAGATCGTTGACTGTGTTCATCTGTGTGCATTATGTAAAGCATGCTTCCATAATGTCCCCCCCCAGAGACAGACGTCTCTGACGGGGGAGAACTGCCTGCTGTGTGGCCATCTTCAGCTGCAGGAGAAAGGGAAGAGCTGGTCCAAGATGTGGGGGGCCGTCACCAAGGCCGAGCCGCTGGTTCTGTACCTGCAGAGCAGCGGGCAGGTAAGAGACCAACACGCACACACGCAATACACACAGTCCGGTATTTGTGTCTCCCATCTATGGACGTGGTTTGGATCACACGCACAAAACGCACACACGCCTAAAGAAGCTCTTTCAGTTGCACACGCGGCGCCTGTGAGTCTCTCTCATGACCTAATAGGGAAGGAACAAGCGTATACAAAGCGCTTATGGATCTGCTTTGAGCCAGACGCACACACACTTCCTGCACAGAGGATGACAACACCGCTCATTATTTCAAAATGCCTTTCCATCAGATCCGCCCTTTATTTATTTTGCTCACAGCTGTCATCATTTACAACATATAGATTATATGGAATGTGGAGGATTTGTTGGTGTCGGACCTCGGGTGCAGCTGCTCCTCCTCAGCGTGCACCGTCGTGGCGAAGCCGCCCTCTGGACGCGCAAAGTGGTTTCCTCGTAATCTCGGCCGTGCATGTAGCGGTTAATCTGACGAGGGGTTTACATGATTGCTCAAAATGAAAAAGACTCCCGATGCGATCTCGTTTTGGGAGGGTTAGTGCTGCGCTGTCATTCATAGCGGCCAGAAGGGGAGTCGGCCGGTTAAAGCCTCCCCCGGGTTCATTTCCAAGACTAATATCCCAATCCCACCGCAGAAAGCCGCCATTCCAAAGATTAGGATTAACGGCAGTTGGACGAGCATTTCCTGATTATACAGAAAGAAAGTGGGGGAGGGGCGATGGGGGGGGGGTTATCATACACGACTGAGAGACACTAGAGAGACACGCTGTCACTCAAACCCCATTCATTCACCTCATTCATTTTTGTTTATACTCTGCAGGACTCCAAGGGCGCGAGGCCGGTGCCTCTCGCCGGGTTCGAAGTGAGCGCCGCGCCGTCGGGGGGCGAGAAGCCGGAGGTCCGGCACGCGTTCCGCCTCAGTCACACGCAGCAGACTTTGCTCCTAAGCGCCCCGGATGCAGAACTTCAGGCCAAGTGGGTGGAGGTCCTCTCCAGCGCCGCCGCCGCCGCCGCCGCAGCCGGCAGCGAGGCGCCCGGGGGCGCGGCGGCGAGCGTGACGGAACACGGACGGAGCCAGTAGCGGCCACGTAGGAGGCCGCAGGACTCGCACGCCCTCCTTCCCCCCCGTGTTTATAGAGCACACAATTACTTGAATTCACTTTACCTTGGCACTTTTTTTTTTTTTGTCTCCTCTTTTGACAGAACCACTCGATCCTCGCCATTCAATCTCCCCCCCCGTGACCACACCGCTCCGTCTTCTGTCTCTGTCCCCGTCCCTGTCGGACACACGCTACCGAGCCGCGCGAGCGTGTTTGGGATATTTCAGTGTTTTTAAAACAGCGGAGAGGAACAAATGTTTTATTTGTTAAATAGCTGAAGTTTTTTTTCTCTTTTTTTTTTTTAAAGATAAAGTTCCTTGTACATTATGCGACTGTGTTGTGAAGCATTAAATCTTATTTGTCTGTTTTCCCATTTGCGTGAAAGTATGCGTGTGTGTGCGTGCGCGTGTGTGCGTGTGCGAGTCCCCTTCCGTGTTTATTAAGTATTGAACGTTAGTGTAAGAAACCTGCGGCCCCTCTGCGCTCTCCTCGGCCCTGCTGGGGACACAGTGGCTCTTCGGTGGGTTTTGTACAGTATGTGTACTATAGTGCAATGTAAGCAACAAAAAGATGTTTTAAATTAAAAAAGGCAAAGAGATGTGTACCCTTGTGGCTGGCCACTTGATGCTCCCACCGCCCCCGTCTCACGGACCCTCTGCTCATACTTCGCTCATCCACAAAGGTAATCATGCCCCCCCCCCCCCCCCTCGAGACTTCCAATCTGAGTCTGATCCCCCACGTTGGGATCAATCCGACCCCTCGATATGTCCACTTGTACACGTGCTTAATAAATCCTTTCCATACACTTCTCTCTCTTTCTTAGCATAGCTTCTCTCATGTTGGTGATGTGATGGAAACCAAGTACTGTGCTGTAAAACTGTTTATTCTACTTTGCCCTTCCCTCTCACACCCTCTGTACCTGGCTCATGTCGGCCTCCAGCCTTCAAGCAACAGTAACAAAAAAAAAAAAACTGGTCATCGCATCTCCTCGTGCATGTAAACTCCCGCCTATTTATGTACCGATTTATGTTAAACATGCATTGTGCACCGTGGACAAGCAGTCGAGCATATCATCAATAAACACACGTTGTGATTGGTTCAGTACGCGCTGTCCGACGACGTCTTCACCACTCGCCAGCTTCCGTGTGCAAGCGTGTTTCTCTTTGTCTTCATCGGACTCACAAACGCACACACACTACTCATACTGTGCTTTTCCAGAAGTGAGGGGGAGGACCGACCACAAGCGGCCGTGAATCGATGCTCATTATCTACACAACTGCTGTCGCATGGGTGACACATGAAACCGTGTGTGGAATGAAGGAATCAGGAAACAGGAATCAGGAAACATTTATTTGCCAAAATATGTCAAACATACAAGGAATTTGTCTTGGCGGTTAGTGCGCGACAGTAGACAGACAGCAGTGCACAAGTAATAAAACAAAGTAGAATGAAATGCTAATGCAATGGGTTAGTAGAATAAGGCTATGGGTTAGTATAAAACAAGGGAATAAAGTTAAAAATTTTAAATATTAAAAAGTTAAAAAGAAAAATATTAAGCATAAAGTGCACTTTATCACTTTAACGAACAAGTAACAGACAAGTGACAAGGTGACGAACAAAGTGATGAATTGCAGTTAAAGTGGCATGTGCAGTGTGAAGGGGAGTGACCGGTGGAGTGTTATAGTCAGTCAGTGGGGGACCGGGCTCTGTTCATGAGCCCGACTGCCGACGGGAAGAAACTGTTGGTGTGGCGGGAGGTCTTAGTCCTGATGGACCTCAGCCTCCTGCCAGATGGAAGGGGCACAAACAGTTTTTGTCCGGGGTGGGAGGGGTCGGCCGCAATCTTTTTAGCTCGCTTCAGAGACCTGGAAGTGAACAAGTCCTGCAGGGACGGCAGATTGCAGCCGATCACCCTCTCTGCAGACCGGATGACACGCTGCAGCCTGCCCTTGTCCTTGGCTGTGGCTGCAGCGTACCAGACGGTGATGGAGGAGCAGAGGATGGACTCCATGACGGCCGTGTAGAAGTGGATCATCATCGTCTTTGGCAGGTTGAATTTCTTCAGCTGCCTCCGGAAGAACAACCTCTGCTGAGCCTTCTTGGTGATGGAGCTGATGTTCAGCTCCCACTGAATGGAACGGAACGGAATGAAGGATGTTAGACGATAAGAGGATTAAGGAACACGGGGCTCGTTTCTGCGTTTCTGTGCTCGTGGTTACGCGTCATTAAGGATTAGTGTAGTTTTAGTGGCGTTCCTTTTAAAGTGATGGTTTCTAGGAATCAGGGGGGAGTTTTCATGAGTGTTTAATGACCCGAAGAATGGCGTCTTTGTTAGCTTGGATCATGCTGTGTACATCTACATGAAGCGTTACTCATTACCGAGTACATGTTGTGCTTCCTTGTTTCCACAGTAGTAGTAGAAAGCCTTTTCGTGTTTTTACCTGAAGGCCACCGTAGTTCTTCAGAAACGAAAGAAAGAAATTCATGAAGTGCGATGCAATCTGCAACTTCCCCACCAAGTGCCACTAGATCCCACACACACTTCAGTGTTCAGTATTTAAAGACATTTATGAAAAAACAAGGAGGACTAATGGCGCGTTTCCACCGAGCGGGACGGTACGGGTCGGCTCGGTACCCTTTTATTTGTGTCTCCACTGCCAAAAGTTGCGAATGGTACCAAAAATCCGAACCGTACTGTACCACTTGGGTACCCTTCCGTTGGGGTACCTGGCACAGTTGTTTGGTACTAAAGGGCGGAGCTAGACTCACTGCAGAGCGCTGATTGGTTGAAATAGTGTCGTCATTTGCGCGCGCCGCAAGGGGAAAGACGACACACCTGCAGCATGTAGCCTTTGCTCAAACAAAGAGTGTCGTCTCCTTGTGACAAACGGCCACATATCGAGAAGCAAAAACAGGATCGGCTGTCTGTCCTCCATTGTTGTTTGCAGTTAGCTTTCAGTTTTCGCGCGATCGAATGACGTCAATCTACTTTCCGTCATATACCACGCCTATCGAGTGACATTAGCACCACTTTCTGGAATACACCACGTCTATCAAGTAAGGCTACTGTTGGCGGTGGAAACGCTCGCCGAATCATGGTTAACAGACCCGACCCGTACCGCCGTACCGTACCGCTCGGTGGAAACGCGCCATAAGTGTCTTCAAACATGCCAGCGGCACCCAGTTTAAAATGAATCAGCATTTCTAACCATATGTTTACAGGGGGAATATTCAGAATTTGCCAACATGCTAATGTTTGCGTTTCATTGGTGTTGAGATATTTCCATCTGGACCAAAATAATAAAAAATAAAATAATGTTGGATGTGATTTTAGGCCTTGCCACCTGTTTATTGTTTTTCAGGCTCAGCTGCCGTCGGCTGCGGTTCAGCTGCTTTGGCTCACCGCACTTTCTTCTTCTTGGCTTCCTGTTGTGTATTTTGGATATGGATTCAAACTGCTGCGCGATACACGTCCGCAGCATAGATCCACAGCGACTTAGTTTCGGCCTGATGAGTGTCCGTCGTGCGGCTGTCGCCACGGGAACAACAGTGAGGCGCTGTGGGGAAGGAGGTGCAGGCGGGTCGCTTCTCACCACCACTCGTTTCTATCTGATGTCCGAAAGAGGACGAGCCGCAGTTATAGATGCTTGTGATCAGTTCCACAGAAAGAAAACTGCTGCTCAGACAATTTCGATATAAATCACCTTCACACACACACACACACACACACACACACACACACACACACACACACACACACACACACACACATATGCTGCTGCAGGTTGGTGTTTGTATGTAGTGTGCATTGTGTGTTGTGGTCGGGTAAATTCCATCCACGCAGGCAGCCATCAAAAGAGAGAACAATAAAACGATAGAGAAGAATTATAGGAGCTGATTTACTGGAAGGGTTGGGTGATGGATTTATGCGTGTGTGTGTGTGTGTGTGTGGTTACATAGAAGTATGTGTGGAGCGGCTGTTTAATCGCAGCTTCCTTGGGCCCATTAAATTAGTTTTATCGTCCCCCTCCCTCGCTTCCGTCCCTACGTTGTCGCCCTGGCGCTTGTTTTTAGCTTTAGTTCTGGTGGACGTGCAACTTCTTGATGAACGTTTACGGGAAGAGAGGACAGTTATTGATGGGCGGCGTGAAGCGTAACTTCTTACCAGTGTCAGAATGATGAATTGGAAAGAGCTGTGAGATAAAAGAGGCAAACTGCTGACGGCCTCGTTTTACCCGCCGCGCATCGAGAGCGCGCCGAGTCCTCTCGGCTCCAGACTCCGAGCGGCTCCTCTGTTCACAGCGGCGCCGTTTGAGTTTTGTCTGCGTGGGTTTTTCACTGCTTTCCGATGCGTCTCGGCACCACGGCCCTCATGGTGTGCGCTCGCCTGAATCTGCAGTAGAAGATGTGGAAACGACCTCCACCGGGAGGCCTGAAGGCCGTCCTTAATGGCTCTGCTCATCGAGGGCGCAGACCCTCTAGAATCAGCACAAAGCGCGGGCTGTTTGTGTCGCAATTGTTGGCGTAGACGCATCAGCGAACCAAACCAGAACGTTTCCACTGATTACATTTGTTCTGGTTTTCTGGATGCCGTGATTCTTTCTGTGAGGCTTGTTCCTGTCCCACAACAGCTGAGGGGAATGGTTTTAATGGGAGAGCTGTCATATGCCACTGGAGCGTAAGCCTCTTACCAGCTGTTTGTGCATTTGTGTGTGTGTGTGTGTGTGTGTGTGTGTGTGTGTCTGTGTGGCCTAGAAACTCCCCAAATCTCTGAATGCACCAACCGACCTGAGCGACCTATGAGGGGAAAGTAGGAAGGACCAATTACAACCTGCCTTTCAAATCCAGTATTTCTCACCACTCTGCTTCAACGGGTCCTTTCCAGCCACTTCAGTCACACTTTGGTCACATGTCGAGATCCCCGTCAAAGGGTTGATATGAAATACGATACGATGATTCATGCAAACCCTTTCTGTCTGCATAACCATTAAGCTGTACTCTGCGATTACATTACAAGTCATTTAGCTGATGCTTTTATCCAAAGCAACTCACATTGCATTATTTAAAAACATTTTTTTTTACAATCCTAGAGGATTCACCTTGTACACCATTTTTTTTTTACTATGGCCAAAGTTTTACAACATAATCTTAAATTGCCATCATCATCTGAAACAATCTTCAATACTTGTCTTTAATTCTTCTGCCAAAACACGCTCGGTGACATGCGTGTGCATGCGTCCAGGTGTCCCTCTCCGTGTCTCCACGACTAATCCCGCATTGCGCTGCAGAAAACTGCACATCCTTTAGTCCCCGTGCCTGCAGACGCCGGGCGGGGGGCCGTGGATGGCAAGACCGTATGCCGCCGCCATTGAGCGCCCGCTGACTCCTCGCTCTGAACCGCCTCACGGGGCAGGAGGGGCCGCATGTGAAAAGAGGTCGCAGCGGCCTAAAGCTGAAGCGACTTCCCTTCGCGCACTTGCTGCTTTGAAACGAGCCCGTCTGTCTGTCTGTGCAGCCGAGCCTCGCAATCAGGAACCGAGGAGTCCTCCACGGAACTCTGCAACTTCCGCTCGCTGCGCTACCCGATGGACGGAGCGAACGACAAATCCCCTCTCAGTGATTCTTCCTTTCGACAGTAATGTTTTCATCTTTACGTTTGGTTTCCTTTTGACCTTTGGTCCTCGGTTAGAAACAAGCGCATCTACATCTGCAGCAACACCCACTCAAAAACGCTCTTCAGTAGAGCAGCAGTTCTCCTTTCCTATAGAGGAAGTTGTGGCAACTGTTTCCTGTCATTTTTACGATTAGTGCTCTGAGCGCACACAGACACACACAGCGTTTCGTTGCCTGGGTGCGGTTGATGCTCAATGTTGTTTCACACCACACTGAAGAAATGACTCCATGAAAGTCTGACACGAGAAACCTAATCGAGTTTCATAACTATTGTTCTGTTCTGTACTGTTCGAATCCATCAGACTCCCCGAGGGAAATGTCTGCAGGTACATGATGCATATTTACATGGTGCTCATGATGAATTGCTGCGATAGCAACAATTCATCACCAGAGACGACGTTATTCACGTCTTCGTCTTGTTCGCCGTCCGAGTGTCGGCGGGGAAAAGATGAATCTATATCGGGTTGGCGGCAACCAGAGAGGGTTGGTCGTCCCCATCATTGTAGGCTGATTAGTTCGATTAATAAGTTAAAATTTGAGGTCTTTTAAGTGAGTATTGGGGCTGTATATAGGCTGTAATATCGAGCTCTCCCCAAACTCTCTCAGGGGAGAGCAGCATTGTTTCGTATTCCTCTCTTAAGTTAACTTGATATCTAATTTATTCCTCAAAACTTTGCTCGTACTTTGTATGTAAATGCGTGACCTCGCATGCACGTGCACTAAATTGAATTATACAACAGACCTAAATGAGCACGTCCAACCGACCGAACACTGTCGGCCGCGGGCCGTTGAACAAACGATGTGGTAGAAAACAGCAGAACACGCCTCATCAGCTGCGATGGACCTTCTTGAAGCTCTCTGAGAGACACCAGGAGCCGTTCGGGTGTGACTCATTTGGCCGTATCGTACAAATAAAAAGCAGTGGGATGCATCAAACCAAAGCGAGTTGTGCACATGTGTACACGATGCAAGCCAGCAGCACACTGTTTATCTGAGACACACACAAGCGCTCAGCTGCATCCAGTCTCCGCCAGGGCGAGGACCCGGCGTGAGGAGTTATCTGTGCGCACAGATGTTCGCTGACGTCTTGTTCCTCAAATGTAAAAGGGAAGCCCGTACGTTGTGGTTCTGTGAGTGGAGGAAGTTGGACATAAAGATAAGAACAGAATCCACCTTGCATGCAGTCACGCAGTCGCAAGGCCGCTGCACCACGACATCCGTGACCGGCTTCTTTTTCTCTGACCGCCCGCGTGTCGTCGTTTCTTTTTCTTTTGTTGTTGCTTATTTGCAAAGCTGTGGACCGTAACCCTCCAGTCACCCTCTTCCTCTGTTTACTGTCTATATATATATGTATATATGTATGTATATATATATATATATATATAGCGATTTACAACATGCACATTGGGTACCAACCCAGAACAACAAGAATCCAGAAAGTACAATTTCTCAAAGACTAAGTGATGAGTGCATTCATCTTATCTGACATGTGACTTGACTTTTGAGATTGTTGAGTGTGATGAAATATAGGACGGACTGCGGTAACTTGATATGTGGAGCACAAGCGAACGTTCGCGCGGATGTAAAACCGTCGGATAGTCACTCATCAAGCCAGAATCCAGCTAAACATCGGCCTGTTACACATTGTGCTTTGTTTCATAACGTTCTAGAATATCCAGCAAAAAATGATTGGTCTTTATTTATGTTTCACACAAAAGGGAGAGATTAAAAGGAATTGAACTAAAACTACAGTCTAGTAATCCCAGCATGTAGTTTTCCACAGAAACACACACACGCTACATGCCACAACGTCATTAATCCGCACAAATCCCATCAGCATGTCAAGTGGAATAACTGGTGGCATTATTTCACGTAATGTTTTTGTGTGTGTTTATTTTCCGTATTATATAACCCGATATTAAAGTAAAAGCTGCACTCAATCCGCCTCACCGTACAAACACCTGCACGAATGACCTTTTCTCTCCCCGGCGCCGCCACGCTGACTCTGTCCCTCATCCTCCGGAGGGTCTGAGGAGAACCGAAGAAACGCTCCATCAGCTGGATTCCCCTCACAAAGTCTCCCCCTCCTTCCCCGCCACGCGTTCCCCCGGCTCCTCGAGGGAGCGCTTGGAGGAGAAACAGAGAAGGGAGCATCTAATGATGCTACGGATGGAGCACCAGGTGTGTGTGTGTGTGTGTGTGTGAGAGAAGTCAAAGACAACTGTGTCGTCTTGTCTGCACTTTTCCAAACACGCGTTTCTCAGCAGTGCAGAGACAGTCCATCCTTGATAGACTGCAGCAGGGAAGCATTCTCCGTAGGCAGGACATTTAGCATCCGAACGGGTGACAACTTCCAGGCCGCCAAATACCGACGACCGTTCAGTTCCCCGTCTGACACGGACGGTACGCAGAGGCGGAGGTTTACCGAGTGGAGATGTTCACGTCAGAAGTGGAAGCTCTCCAGAACGTATCGCTAAGGGCACGTAGACTCCACGGATCGAGGGCCCAGCGCCGGTGTTTGACGAGTTGGGACCCGTTAACGCGTCAGAGCGCCACGCGGTTCCCCTCAACAAAAGGCCAAAGGGAATCGTTTTCATTGGGTTTTGTTGTTGGGAAAGTTTGTTTGTTTGCGTGAGCGAGAGTGCAGAGCGAGGCTGTAACGGCAGGCCGGTGTTCGGCGCCATGACGTCTAGTCGTTGAGGAACTTCTTAAAGACCCGTTAAAGCCCACTAAAAAAAAAAAAAAACTCTTGACTTTGAGACAAGGGAACCAGAGAACCAGATGTTTGCAAGAACAACCCATTTGGGGCTTTTAGGACTCATTAATGCAGCACCCTGTGACACCCTGACTACGTGAAATGGTTCCCTGGGGAGAATCTCTACCCAAACTTTTAACAGTCAACAACCTTCAAACCTTTGAGCAAAATAACTACCTCATGGACGGTGTTTGTTTTCTGTTTCCTAACTTTAACTGAACAAAGGCACTTCGGAGAGGGCACCTTCAGGCCGCCTCCACCCAGACCTCCGGCCATATGTGGCCCAATCGGAGCGGCGCGTCGTTGACGGGGGCCGCTGGCAGTGTGAGACAGGGGGCCTTTTCCTGCTCTACCTAATTACCCGTGTGATGGAGCGCCCCCCACCCTCCCCCCCACCCCCTCCGGGCCCGCCCGGCGGAGCCAGCCTGTCCGTCCTCACCTTTCCTCCGCCCCTCCTGTCCGATCAGGTTAATAATAAAACAGCAAAAGCCAGAGGGCATTTTCCTTTTTGGTCATTTGAGTCTCACGTCGCCCATTTCTTCCTTTCTACTGTCTTTCTTTTTGGGGCCTTTTAGGGGTCACCTTGTAAACAAAACACTCTACATCCTTTTTTATCCTTTTTTTAATACTGTGAAAGACTCACGATCCGTGAGCAAACCTCCTGCTTGCACAGACTCCAGAGCACACGTGGCCGGGTTAAGTACGAAGAACACGCTAACTGTTCCTGTAACAATTCATTCATTTCTCAACATGTCCCAAAAGGTCCCAAAATGTCCCTGGCTGTATGGGTAGGATGAAACCTGGTGTTACCGCGCACACTCTGCAGTCAAGTCATGCATTTGTCTCACAGTCACAAACATCTGGGATCGCTGGGAGCTGAACTCCAGCATCGGAGACGTTCGGTCCATGCAGGCGACCAGAAAACATCTGCCCCCTAACTTGTTGGAGTGTAGACAGGCTGCTATCTACGCTGCTCCTCCATGACACGCACGGCACAAGAAGTGTTTGTTTTTTAACACAACATCCTCGAGTCCTTCAGGACGAGCATCTCTGATCAGCTATGCTAATATATTCACGAATGATGAGGCCTGCTGTCTGAGCAGAGGGGCCCTGTGTGTGTGTGTGTGTGTGTGTGTGTGTGTGTCTGTGGGGGGGTCAGGTGAACGGGGATGGGTCTGTGGCGACGCTTATCACCCACAGCAGAAACCATCGCGTGCCCAGAATTCTCAACGACATTAGAGGGGAAACAGGAGTGTTTTGTTTATCTCTCCTTCTATTATGGTTTTGTTTGTGCACAGAAATGGATTCGTTGCTTCATAAAAGCTTTTGTTTCATTTATCACCGTTACCCTGCTGTGGTTATGCATTCAGAGACGGATAAGGACGCCAGAGCAAAAAGGAGCTTCATGGTTCATACCACCGCTTGTCACCTTCACCACAAGGCCTCACGCACCGTGAGAGACAGAGAACGTGACGTTCGGAGGTCACGTGTCTTCCAAGAACCGCTCATTTGCCTGAAATGTGTCTCTCACACCTTCTATAGAACCCGGTCTCTGTTCCGTTATCGGCCGTCGCTGTCCTCCGCGCGCTGCACCCGCTCTTTGGTTTGGAACTCAACACACTCTTAACCTGAACTTAAGTTATTGTTATTTTCCATGACACGCGGATTCAAACGCGACATGGACGTTTCTGTTTTATTCGACGTGTTTATTGTGTAGCTGCTGCTGCTCAGTGACCCGCTGTAATCCACGCGGTCCTTTAGCTTTGGTCGACAAGGTCTCCGCCGTCATCCTCGCGCGCGCCCGCCTGCCAAAGCGCGCTCTGTGAAAGTAGGAATTAGAACACGTTGACGTCGCGGGGAGACTCTGCGGAGGACAGCGTGTTGGACTGGAAGCTACAGAGAGGCGGATCGAAGCCGCGCGGGATCCCGACTGGTCCCCCCCCCCGTGCGCCGGGCACCGAGGAGCCCCGTTGCGCAGTCTTTACGCACAGCCAAGGAGCCGGACAGGGGCCGGAGGGGCGTTTTGGGGGGGGTTTAGAGGGACGCCACCATGTCAGCGGCAACCGCTTCCATAGCAGATGTTCCCCGGACGGATTCTACAGCCGGAGAGGACAACCGGGACCGGAGGAGCAAGTCGGGTAAGAAGTGACGATCCACGACCGTTTAGCGCGCGGGGACGTGTGTGCGACTTCAACAAAACAAACCGATTTAACAATTATATATATATATATATATATATATATATATATATATATATATATATATATTTTGAGGGAAGCTATTGTGCAAACTGTGAAGAGGTGCACAGATACCTTTATTTCTCCGCTTTAGGGACAGTTTCATCCGCTATAGAAGTCCAGCTATAAATAGACTGTAACGCACTGCATCATGCAGACGTGTATCTATTACTGTGTTAATGGGTGTGATTATTTCCTTGGAAAACATAAATTCCATTAATAAATAATAATAATAATATAACTCGGCCATAAGCTATTTTATTCCGTGTGTATCTGCATCTTGTGCTTTGTTTATTGTTGTTCGCTGCTGGCTACCAAATGAAATTTTGTTGTAAAACAACAATGAAAATAAAATCCTTTAACCTGAACGACAAAATAATTTGTGTAATAAATACACAAATACACCATCTGACGTTTTTGAATGAACATTAAGTTCCATTCTTCTGGTCGTATCATCCAGTTATTCATTTATTTATTTTCATTTGTTTATTATACTAATTTTATTATTTAAAATATGTATTAGTTACATCAAAGTGATGCTGTCTGTTTATTATAACGTACAAATTGAATATGGCTAATAGCTAATGCTATTTATCACAGTTAAGTCGGTCTACAGTCATTAAAATGAGAAGCAAGGGAGAAAATGAGCTTTGTTTCATCTGCCTTTTCTGTCTTTATGTCTCTCCGTCAGCGATGCTACAAACTTTTGTTGTGATTTTACGCCCCTTGTGGGGATCAAAGTCAACCGCGCGTTTTCCCTCCTCACATCTTTGGAGGGGGTTTTTTCTCGTTATTTAAAAATCCACTAAAGAGGAACAACCCCAAACCTCCAAACTGCTTTGTTTTTTCTTGTGAAAACCAGAAGCAGGTGCGTTGGACATGAAACACATTCTCCTTGTGCTGCTGGAAATCCCCGACATGATGTCATCGTGTTCATTTGCCTTCCATCGGCTTTTGTGATGAATGAAGCGAGGCTCTCGTGTTTCCGGTTCTTACACTGCGCTGTACGATAACTGCTTCTTTGGCTCCAGATCCCCTTTTGTGTTAATGATTTCTCTCATATTCTAATTCGATGCCGCTGCAAGAAACCAATCCTGGTCCCGGTCCCGTCTGCACAGCTCCATTCTCCTCTGTGCTTCCCTCCATTCACCCCGGACGCCTGTTGTGCTGCTTTTGAATCCTTGAATCGGTCTCTCTCACAGGTCGCACCCAGGCTCAGTGCACCCTCAGGCCCCTGCCGGCCCTGGGCACCCAGAGGATCATCCAGGGGAACGGCACGACCGTGGGCACGGTCATCTCCCTGCAGTGCCCGGCCAAGCACAAGCTGGTGGGAAAGGATATGAAGTGTGTCATGGACACCAACAGCACCCACTGGGTGGGGAACACCTACTGTAAACGTGAGTGGCAACAAAAACCTCCTCGAAAAAAAAAGGAGGAAGATATTCCAAAAGCTTTTGTTGGGAGAATTGGGAAAAAACGTCCCCTGAGCTGAGTCTGTCCGCTCATTATTCATGAGATGTATGTTCAACATTACGGTGGACATTAGTTGCTATCGGCATTGTTACGCAAAGACACTTAAGGTGGGAAGCGGTTTGCTATAATTAATCCTTCTGACATATTCAGGGGAAAACTCTCGCTTGAGGATGAAGCTCATTAGAGGAGAATATAAATGCAAATGGAGGTTAGAGAGGATTTTTTTCTTTTTCTTTTGATGAGCAAGAGGAAAAAGTGAGAGCAGAGAATTATGTTTCAGAATCAGTCATCACGAGAGAAGCCGAAGCCATAGTGTGAAACTGAAGGGAATTATTATATATATATATATTTATGTCTGTTAAGCCCAAGGTGAGTCTGATGAGGGGTTTTTGTGCGTACGTTTTGCAGCATGGTAACTTAACCGTTTATATATTTCTTATATGATGAGGATAAATGAGTCGCCTCTGTTGCTTCCAGCCGTGTCTCCCTTCGAGGACTACGGGTTCCGCGTGGCTGTGCTGGCATCCATCGTGAGCTTGGCCGTAATCTTCTTCATGTCCGTGGCCTTCATCACCTGCTGTCTGCTCGACTGCATCAAAGAGGACAAAAGGAACAAACATGAGAGGTGACTTAAAAGTACCAAAAGCACAACATGGAAAAAAAAAAAGAGTCATTTACTTCATAAAAGCTCTACTTTGGTGGAACAAAACGGTCAAAGATACTCACCAAAAGGTGTTTTGTTAACATCCTGGAGCTTTAGCGGATGTGTTGAAAGACACTTACTTCCTCGTGAGACGTTTGCAAAACCTTTTCTCAGTATTTCAAAGCCGATGCTGTTTACAAGCCTGCAGTCTTCTTCCGTTGTGTGTTTCCGCCACACGGATCGACCATAAGCAGCCGGCCGCCGGGACCTGAACCATTGGTTCGTGGAGTTTGTTGAGCTCCGTACAAAAAAAACAACCTTTTAGGCAACTATTAACGCGACCTGTCAATCACAAGGCTGCCCCGCCCCAAAGAAACTCAAGTATTCATTCGAGTATTTCCAATAGTACGTATGTTAAACTGCTTATTTACCATCAGTAACATTTACTGACAATGCACCAGCTGTTAGTGTAATAAAAACTCTAAACTGGAGTGAAGTACAATCTGGAGTATTTAGTACCATAAAATGGAAATACTTGTGCCGAGCACCAAAACCGTAAGGTTGTATTTACTTGAGTTAATCTACTTTCCATCACTTGAAGCAAAGAATGCAGAGGAACACTCACGTGTGCCGTTTTGAATGTATTTTCTGAACAGAGACTCAGAAATGTGGCAGTGGGAGGAGCAGGCCCAACATGGTGGCGACGGCAGGCCTCGCTGCCGCCAAGAGGGCTGGAACAACAACAACAACAACACCACCCAGGAGAAAGCGCAGTCCCTGTGGCACGCCGGGAGCCCGACCACGTGCGACAGCGTGCAGCCCTGCGGGTGAGATGTGGGCGGATTTCTGCTGAAACGTTCCTTTTGTACGGGCGCGAAAAAGGACATTGAACAAACAACCTCCTGTCTCGCCCTCCTCAGGTGTCATCAGCAGTACGCGCTCGGCCCCGCCGGCACCTGCGGGCCCTCTCCCCCGCTTTCCACTCTCCCCGGCTACGACTACGAGCGGCCTCTCTTGCCCAGGAGCCCGGGACCCGCGAGCGTCTCCGGCGGGCTCGGCCACGACGGACCTCCTCAGTCCCTTGGTCGGGCCGCGGGCCCGGGCCCGGGGCGGCGGCAGCACGGAGGACGGCGGAGCGGCGCGCCGGGAGGCGACCCGTCGGCCGCGGCGGATGAGTCCGGCTCGTGCAACGTGAAGGCGGCCAAAGAGTTCTCCATCCGGATCATATCGGTGTGAGGAGAAACATCGAGGAAGAACTCGTTTACTGAGCAAACACGTCGGTCTGTGTGCGCCGGGAGAGATAACTGAGCATTCCTGACCTTTGTGAGAAGATAAAACCTGCAGTATGGAGGCTTTATAGGCTTACTAGTGACAGATGTATGTGCCTTTTTAACGGCATACTGCCCTCTGTCTGCAAAGGGGAGCTATTGCACCTTCAGTAGGCCGACAGAGAAGATGCTCCCTGTAAATAGAAGGTCCAGGGACCTCCATGACCTCAAATGAGCTTTCCAGAGAATCAGGAACATTTATTGCCAAAGTATGTTAGACATACAAGAAATTTGACACGGCGGTTGGTGCATTGCATCGGACAATAGAACAATGACACAATGGACAACAAGACAAACAGATTGTTTTGTTTGGGCTAAAGTTAATGATCAAGGAACATCTATTTGAAGCATTTGAAAAAAACTCCTGTTTGTTGGTTGAGGAAAGCAGCTGGAAGGCACCAGTCAAATGTAAATATCATTTTTTTTTAAAGAATGTAAGTGAATAAAGACTATGCATCGCAGTGGAAGGAGTCCAGTGGTGTACGTTTCCCTCTGAGGGACCAATGTTTGCAGCAATTGCAGTGATTTGACTGCATGTGTGATAGCGTTCGCGTCACAATGGGCAGCGGAGGCCGGACTCAAACGCAGACCTGCAAACAAAAGGTACTTTAATAAACGGCGACAGGGATCCGGAACTCACAAATCAGGGTGACAACATCCGGGGTAGAACATTCAATGACGCGACCGGCGGCAAGAGACACACACGGCTTAAATACACTGGGAAGGTGCAGGTGATTGGACACAGGTGGAAACAATCAGGGACACGGCAGGAAGTGAAGCTCACCCAGGGACACGAGAGGCAGGAAACTACAAAATAAAACAGGAAACAAACCCAAACCGTGACAATTTAATATTATCTCAAGTGACATGGTGAGGAATATATTAGCCTCACAAGATGCTAATTATTATTATTGACTAATAACAACACGAATCGTTATTATATTATACAATAAATGGGAATAAAATAAAATCATGGACCTGCCACAGAAAGTTTAGCTGCTGGTAATCTGCTCAATCTAGTGCCGCTGCTGTGTGCGGATGGATAATCACCACGAGGGCCTGAGGTCGGTGATATGGCCTCCGGGCACAGCGGGGGGGGGAGCGCGCAGAGCGGCGCGGCGCGCTGGTGTAACCGGACAGGAGCCACCGTCGCACCGGGGGAGGCCAGGAAAGTCACACCCGGGAGGCCGTCGGAAGGGCGCGAGACCCACGCGGCCCGTCTCCGTGTCGGCATGACAGGTTTGTGAAACGCGAGTTAAACGTTTCTTTGGCTCGTTTCGGATCAGAGAATCCGTCCGCGCCGGTGAGCCGGTGGCCGCCCGCTGCGCTGCGTGGGCGCGACACTTTTGAAGTTGTTGCCGTGGCGACGAGGTATCGAATTGGCCAATGTACTGCGTCTCTGTCAAATCTAAACGGAGACGTTTTCCCTTTGACGTAAGCTTACGTACATGTGATCAGTCACACGTTTCGCTTGTGTGTAAAGTGGAAGCTCTTCAGAATGGGGGACACTTCTGCTTTATTGCTCAGCACCTTTTTATTGTACTGCCCACAGTCTCCCTTCACGTCTCAGTGCTGAAGACAGCAACACTGAGCTGGCAAGAACATTTGAGATGTGGTGTCAGAACGAGGGTCTGCATCCTTTTATTTCTTATTTTATACCTTTAACGGTCGACAAAGAACCCAGAATTTAGCAAACTGGTGTTTTTCATACTGTTGCCAAAACGACGGCCCCAGCATTCACCTTTCTAAACTGGAGAATAAACCTCTTAGTCATTTATTTTCAGAAGTGGACTGATGCCAAGACCAGCTTACTAAGAAACTATACTTAGGCTAAGGCTAGACATCAAATCTGCAGGCCAAGGCTGATTTTTGTGATTGACAGCTCGCTACCACCGTTGTCTGGTTCTCATCCCACAACTTTAACCCTTTGCCATTGTGTTTTCACTTCATCACGGTTAATTGTAACACAGTTATCTCTCCAACCCGTCGTGTCCAGAAAACAAGAAAGTATGGAGAAAGGAGGGCTTGTAGAGCGTAATCCACAAACCAGTGGATGAAGTCAGGACGGAAACGACCTTTTAGATCACTGATGCCTCCGTGAACATGAACTAGAGTGTGTGTGTGCCAGAGGGCATCTCCTCTCTAACGTCTTCATTTCTACCGATGCTGACAGACATTGACGATTCCCACGAGCGGCTCCAGAGGGACGCCCAGTTCCTCTGCTCGGACCGCAGGATGGACACCGAACTGGTCGACAGGCTGGTGCTGCAGCTGAACCGGATCTACCCCCAGATACTCAGCGACAAGGAAGCCCACAGGGTCGCTACGGATTGACGTTTGACGCCGCTCTTAGAATTAAAAAAAAACCCATCCTGTTTGAAAAGTGCTGAAGTGCTTCTGGAAGAAAATAACAAACAGATCCGCTAATGAGAAATATCACATCATATTACATGAGACAAATTGTTAAATGTTTCATTATTTTGGAGATGGTTAAGTGATTATTTTCCGTCACCATGGTGACTTATGATGATCTCTTTTGTTCTCCATCACAGTGGCTTTAGTGACTGTGAGGCCTTTGAGAAGAGTGTGCAGGTACACAGGTGTGTGTCCAGTGATTTGACCCGGCGTGTCTCTCCCTGCAGTTCAGGGACCTGAGCGTCCCCACCGAGGCGAGGTTAGCTCAGCTGTTGGCGTTCCTGCGTGGCAAGGGCGAGGAAGCGTGTCACGAATTCTACCGAGGACTTCACATCCTCGCCGAGAACGTCTACGCCGGCCTTCCGTCCAGAGCAATACGAAGAGGTACACACACGGAGGGAGGGTCAAACAAACACGGGACTTTCAACCCGTTGAAACACTCGTTGTGTTTATAGGTGAGAGGGTTTGGCGAGCCTTCCCTCCCCCGTCCCGTGGTGGCGGATCCCCTGCTGTGCGGCCGCCCTGTCTGGCCTTATGTGGGCTTATTCTATATCCAATCTGAGACTCAGTGTCTGCGCGGCGGCGGAGGAAGTGGATGTGACATTACACGGGCTGTCATTTAGAGTGTGGGCTTTAGCCGTTAACCGTCTTTGCCCTCTGTCTGTTCTAGAGGTGGCCGATCCAAAGAGAACGACCGCTGGGACGATCCGCCCGCAGCGATACGTACAGAACGACAGAGGTACGATTCTGCGGCACAGCGGAAAGCATCACGTGACGATTCTGTTCGTGATATTTGTGGGTGCAACTTACAAGAATGTACACCCGTTTTGGCCAAATATGTAAATATGCGACATAGAGGTTTTTCTTTTATATTACATTATTACATTACAGGTCATTTACCTGACGCTTTTATCCAAAGCAACTTGCATTGCATTTTTAACCCGTGGCTTTTACATTTTTGCCCGGGGAGCAATAAGAGTTTAGGTGTCTTGCTCAGGGACACGTCGACATGGGACATGGGGCTCAAACCGCCAACCATGCGTTTCCCAGCGCACCTTTTCTGCTCCACGCGCCACCGTATTAACCTCAGATTGAGTAATACAAAATAAAATCATCCTCTAATGAACATTGTACAACACATTGAGTCAATGATTGATTTTATTCTCATGCAAATTATCATCATCTCATGCATTATCTTAAATGTGCTAATTTGCATATATTTCCATAATTCTGAATGTTTGATTCACCCAGGTTCAACATCCTTGTTTTAAAACTAGAGTCAGAGGTTTCTACTGAGGACATTTTCAATGTCTCTTCCACATCATTTACCATTCTCCATAAAATGTTGTATAAATCAGGTCTGTAAAAACCTTCAGGATATACAGTGTTTATATATATATATATATATATATATATGGAGGAATGAAACTGGAAAGTTATGTGAATGTAAAAGCTACACAAGTGGAGATTTCTCCAGTCATGTATTTCATGTCCATTTTTGAAAGGCAGTGGACATGGAAGCTGTCTAATCTCCACAAACTTGTAATACTTCACTGCTGATGCCTCCCTTGAAACCTTCGGCCGCCTGGAAAACAGGAAGTCGCTCCCAAAAACATTGCGAAATTGTGTGCGCACATGTGATAATATAATAACAGCGGCCTTATAGTTTGTGCGCGTGTGTGTGTGTGTGTGCGTGTGTTTCGAGGGGCCTCCGGACCCGTCGCTGACCTCACACAAGTCCCATAAGCCCAACTAAGTTCTGCTCCGCTGAACCCTTTTGACCCCCGAGCCCCAGAATGTGGGCCCTACTGCTCCGCACCGCCTCACCGTGGTCATACGGGTCCCTCCTTGTCTAGACAACAACATTCCGTGGCGTCGGCCAGCGATGAAGACGTCCTCTCCTCTCTCTCCTTCTGCAGGGTCCATGTTCTTCCTGAGCTGTTTCAGCGTCGTGGTCGGCGCCGCGATGCTCTACTACTACGGAGGTGAGTCGCGCGGAGAGATATATTTCAAACAATGACTGTTTGCGTTCATCTTGTTGATGTCGGTTGTGCCTCTTTCCGCTCACAGAGGGGGAGACGTTGAGGAGCACTTGTCCTTTTCTTCAAGGCTCTGCGGCGGGTTTCAGCAAAGGTGCTAACTATGTTTTCGTTTCCTACGCCGAGGTTGGAAGGCAGAGGACATGAAGCCTCTGAGACGCCGAGGTGCTTAAGAAGTGGCACCGTGAGTAGAGCGGCCCGTGGCACATGCCACTTCTCTGTGCCAAATCTGTGTTCCGCAGAGGTAACAATCGCACGCATTTGAAAGCGATAGCTGATGGACTTTTCCTCCACATGGAAAAGAGAAATTTAAGAGAATCTTTGCTGGCTTTGCTGACGGTGCAGAACAATGATGATCCCGTTCATATTTTCAGACAAGATGAAGCGTGATATCAAGTGTAACTGCACGCCCACGCAGCCGTTTTCAATCACTCTGCCTGATTAGACCCAGTTTTTGGAGAAATTATTAACAAAGGTCAAAGGTGAGAAACAATATCCTTTTTGTTTATCCGGTTTGAATTGGGCCAAAAACCACACACATGATGTTCGTAAACTTTAACTTTTCGCCCGCCTGTACATATTTTTTCTATAATTAGTTCCAATGGGTGGGGTCAACTGGAAAGGGGCGGGACTTCTGATTAGGAAACATAAGTGAAAACACCTTGAACTTTACATTCTGCTCCAGTTTCTGGTACACGCAACACATATTCCCCCAGCTCATCACTCCAGTGCCTTCTGATACTGTGGTGGAGAAACTGTTCTGATTACACTACTATTGCATTGTTCACCTCCAGTTGTATCTTATTTTTTAAATATACACCGAAATGTGTACAGTTGATTTGTATCAAATAAACGAAAGAAATGCACATTGATGAGCGCTGCAATGGTTTTCTATGTTTGTATGTGACCCGTTCTTGCTGTGTAAATACTTTTTACTGACATTAAACTCTCGCTCATTGAACAGCACGGAACGAATCCAGCAGAGGGCGCTGCTGCCTCATCCAGAAACACGCATGAGGGGAAACGTTCTCCAACAATGACAAACCTGAGCAACAGGCAGCCTTCATTCACTCAGAATGAAAACAATTAAGTGCTACATTAATAATAACCACCGAAGCAAGACTTTAGTGCAGGGCGGATGCATTTCATGCTGCCTTGAAAGTATTTGTCCTGACAATGGAAACTTTAAAGGTGGTTTGTAGAAAACAGCGGGGGGAGGAGAGCTCAGGTGTCTGATTTCAGCAGGGATGGAGACACCATTATGTAGTTCCCTCATCAGTCAACAGATCTGCTGTTCTTTGCAGCGGCGCTGTGTGTGTGTGTGTGTGTGTGTGTGCGCGTGTGTGTGTCATCAATGTGGCTCTCTGCTCGTCTGGCTGTTTCCACGGTTACCGGTGATGGTTGTGGAGGTGGAACAGGCACCGGATGGTGACGTCGGGCTCGTCGTCCGAAAGGTGCTTTTGTCGGCGCCCCGTGAGAGCTCTCGAGGTGTCCGGCGGACTCTGGAACTGCTTCCTGTGCACTCGTGTTCCAGCGATGCTAAATGAGCGCTTGCTCCGCGCTCTAATTGGGGTGTCGGTGACATCTCTGGAACACGGTCTAATTAAGGCTTCTGTTTTAACAAGCGGTTCTGCCGGGGTCGGCTGCGTGGTGACTCTGACTCACCGGCCCGGCTCAGGGCCGCAGACGCGCTCCGGGAGGAGGGGGGGCCGGTGGGGTGGAGGTGGGGGAGGGGAGGGTCAGTGAGGTCACAACCGGGCACACCCTGCTCTGCCTGCATTAGGTCCACAATACCTGCTAGTCCGAGCTGTCTGGGAAAGAACAATGACGCGTTTCTGCAACGTCATCAACGCGATTAAAAAAATGAGTGTGTGTGTGTGTGTGTGTTTCTGGTCGGGCTCAGGGTCACTCTCGGGCAGCCAAAGCAGACGGCATGAGGTCACGTTCGTCTCCACTTTCCTGTTTGTCGCCGAGGACGCGACGGGCCTCTTTGTTTCTCATGTTTATGTCTTCGGCGTCGAGCGGGTTTTCATGGGACTTGTTTTTTTTCCGTTGGAAACTTCTCTGAGGGCCTGGAGAGGTCAGTGTGTTTGTAGGTCAGGTGTGGGGGTCATGAGGGTCAGGGTCATGGGAGGAGGGGACCAAAAAACACGCTGACAGCACGGATGTGTATAGAAGACAAGGCAGGAGAGAAGCTTTGTATAGAGAAAGAGAGAGCAGAATACAGAATTATATGTGAGCAGCAGAACCCGGGAGAATACCTGTGTGTGTGTTCGCGGTCAGTCTCCACGGTTCGGCCTGTGGACGTCAGGCCGTGACGAAGACGTTGACCGTCACGATGCTGAAAACCATCTATCCATCAAATTAGCCTCTGCTGATTTTGTTAATCATTTTAAATAATAAATTGACAACACACACACACACACACACACAGTCTACTTGATTCTGGGACTCGAGCTAAATCATTGTACACAGATTTAATATCAACAATACATTTACTTGATTCAGACTATATGTTTCCTTCTGCTCAAGACAACGCAGAAGTTTTGCAGAAACGTTATTTTTGTATTAATAGCTCACAAAATACAATTGTGAAAAAATGTTAAACATAACAATGCTTTTACTTCTGTTTACAGCTGTAAAACCAAGTTAAGCACGACGGGTTCATCTGTGATTTGTGTTCACAGCAGAAACACCCTCACAAATTCTACATCAACCCTTTTTTGTTGCTGTTGTTTATTTTAGGGAGGTCAACCTGTCTTCTGTGTGCTCCTCAGTGGAAGAGCATTACATAGAATACGGCATGACCAACGGTCTGCTTTCATTCTGTGACAGTCATTGGTCTGATGCGGTGGGAAAAACTGCTGATTCAGAGCAGAGAAATAAACAAAGAACAATACAGGGGAAAGTGAGCCGATCGAGGGAAGCTGCTGTTTCCTTTATGACTGCTGCAATGTGTGTGTGTGTGTGTGTGTGTGTGTGTGTGTGTGTGCGCTTTGTTAACATCCCGATCAACTCGATAAAAGTTGTGTGTGTGTGTGTGTGTGAAATGTGGGAGGTTGTTTACAGCATCGCTGAGGAAAAGGTTAAGCGGTGCGAGGAGCCTCTGTGCCGTCGTGTGTGTCTGATCTTAGGGGGTGGAGGGGGTGGAGGGGGGGCGGTATGTAGGCCGCTCTCATCACGCTCCATCGGCCCCATTAGGCGGAGAGGGAGGAGCTGCGGGGTTCACAAGGGTCGGGAGGAAGAGGACACGTGAGCCGTCACGATGTGCATATCATATTTCGGTCGGTTATTAGGGATTAATTACTTAATTAACCCGACTGGGAAGATCTGTTAGCATGACTTACCTTCACCTCCAGTGACTTTAGAACACAAATGCTTTTCTCTTGTTTTCAGACTCTGAGCACAAACAATTCTAAGCATGAACGAAAACAGATCTTTCATGTCTATTGACCGTCTTTGCCCCACCGCCAACGGTCGTATTTGCTCATCCTGTTGAGACGAGTCGGTGTGACCCGGCTCAAGTTCACTGACCTGCCGTCTAGTCGTCCCGACTCATCTTCCCATCTTAGTGGGAACCTACGGATGTGTGATGTTTGTGGCTTTGCGATGAACGCCTGAAAGAAGAAAGCTCGGAGATGTCAGCGAGGACTCATTTCCTGCTTCCGGCGCATCTACGGAGAGGATCTGCTGGTGGTCCTGGTCCTCATCAGCACCACCAGCAGCCGTTACAGAAGAGTGACCTGTGGAAACACAGCCGCTCGCACGCCAGAGAGACTCTGGCACAATGGCAACAGGTCCGTTTACGAACACATGATCAGGTCTGCTCGCTCTCTTGTTCCCCCGAGCACGTGCTGCTGCGAACTCGTTCCCCTGTTTGTCGACTCTTATCAAATCGGAGCAGCGTGTCTGACATACCGGCGACGCTGTGAGTCACCGCTCGCATCCTGCTCGTGTATATCTGACGGAGCGGGCCGAGGGAAACCCACAACGACTCTCTTTTTTTTGCCACAGCGGCTTCCGTCATTCATGGTGCTTTCATACTATTTGTTCTGTATAGTGAGCATATGACAGATTTCATTTACTACATTACATGTTATATATATATATATATATATATAGGGGGGGTTCAAGAGTGAGTGCTTTTGACTGAATCCCTCCAAACGAATGATGAACCAGGTGATAACGAAACAAGAGAGTGGTTACGTAACAAGAGATCCGCCTGTGTGTGTCCACATATGTGAACCACCGCGCCGGATAAACAGTCCGCTCGCTGATGACGAAATCTCTCTTCCTTTTTTTTAAATCGATGCAAACACGTCTCGCTTTGGGACGAACGTCCGCCTCACACCTGAGCGCTGAAGAGGAAGACGAGGAAGAGGAAGGCTCGGCCTCGTCGAGGCCTGAACCCGGCACCCGCCCTGCCGGCGTGAAATAATCAGCACAGCTGAGAATCTCCTCCTCGACATTGAAGCCCAGTTTTTTTTTTTTTTTTTCTTTTCTTTTCTCACAACCCACCCCTTCCTGCAGCTGCAGAGAGCACAGTTTGTCGTGCGCGCACAGACACACACACACACACAGAATAAATGGTTGTCAACTGGTTCTTTAAAAAGCACCATCAAAGCATTTGGCCTATTGGATGGTTCTTCATGTTTGTTATTTGGTTCCTTGGGATCTCAAAGGGTTCTTCAAAGAACCAGGAGTGTTGGCTGTAAAGAAGGAAGTCAACGGCACCTCTAACCTTCTGCAGCGGTTTGCAAGGTTCTTCCCCGGAACTGGAAACGGTGCAGATGGTACCTTTTTATCTTTTCTCTGTGCAGTTGGTACAAACCGTCTTTTCTGCACCTTTTAATTTGCCCCATGGACAACTGCGGCACTACAATGTCTACAGTGTTTAGCAGATTCACTGCTGCATTGTACTGTATTCATGTCAATCCTCTAATAAGCCATTGCTGCTTCACGGGGAGACGTCCCGACAACACCCAGAAAAGGCGCGTCTCCGCGGGCGTCCTCCACGCGCCGTTCACTCCGAGCCATAATACCCCAGTGGAGGGACTCACGACATGTAAACAGCTCTTCAAAAAGCACCTTTTGCCCCTGCTGTCCAACGGGGGGGGGCTGTAGCGTTGACTGTGGATCGTGCCACAAATGGCCACTGTCATGACGTCAGCCATTCTGCCCTCAAACCCCCCGACGGGGGCTTTATCCCCGAGTCAACAGAGCGCGGTGAGGTAATGCTGGTTCGTGAGAGCAGTCAATGCGTCTATGGACACAGCGAGTGGTTCGTTCCCAAAAACTCACCAGCAAAGAGCTCACTCTTTGGGGGGGGTGGGGGGGGGGGGTGTACTTGCTCTGGTGATTTGCACATACTAGGCCAAGGCTCAAGGCCACTTAGTCAGTCAGTCCGAGCGGTTTGTCAGGATTAATCTGCCTGTGTGCTCTTATCATGTGGGTGAGAACATGGATAGCAGCTAATCACAGCGGGGGGGAGGGGGGAGGGGGGGCAGATGGAGATAATGAATGTAGGCCATGGTGTATGTCACTGTAATGTTACACATGACAGAATGCAGCTGATTGAGGCTTTCATTCCGATAAGACTTTGGTCCGCCCGTTACAGATGTTTAGTTACTTTGCACAATCTAAAAGAGAAGTGCTCATTAAGTCAATCACTCGCTGCTCCTTGGTTTCAATGCTTATTTTTGGGGATGAATTATTCACACTGCGTTCCTTGTCTGAAGAAGACTCCGGGGACGGACCACGAAGAGGGAGGCAGAGGGGGGGGGGAGGACAGGGAGAGATAGATGCTCTTTGAATCGGTTTTAACTCTCAGCTCAATGAGAGCAGATGGATTCATACAACACAATTTAACACATTCTGCAAAGTCCGATCAGGTGTCACCAACGTCAAGGTGTGTGGTTATCAGACAGACCAAAGGCAAAAGATGAGGTGAGGAAAGAACCAAAGTTCTAGTACTATAGTTGAAAAACGGGGGTGGCCGAACCATGTAGGAAACATTGTTTTCTAATTTAAGAATGACATTATGTTTGAATATTTGTAATTTAGAAGTCAATGTGCTTCCCAAACTGGGCGAACTGGGAGAAGTTTATGACCCGCATTTGGAACATGACCTTCCAGATGAAGGGCCTGTCGTTGTAGTCAACTCTTCTCCACTGGAGGGAGAGAATGGAATTGTTTGAAGTCAGCTGAACAGAGGAATGGAGAGGCGAGATTTAAGCTGGTGCCAATTCATGCAGGGTTTTTAAAAAAAAAAAACATCCAGAGCACGAGTGGGAGAAAATGGCCTCCCATCATAAAAACTATCTTCATGGCCCTGCATTGATGTCCCAGATATTGAATTTAAATCTGAATTGAGCCATAGTTTTTTTTCTTCATTGTGCATTCAAAAGCCAACTAAATTCTGGCAAACTCCCAAGCAAAAGCAATTAACTCATTCAACCCGCACGGTCTAACCCCTAAAAACTTTTCCCACATTCTCACAGTAACTGATGACCACCAAACCAAACGCCTGCAGGTCAGTCGCTGTGGGCGTATTCAGGTGGCTGGACTTGCATATACGTAACCGGTGTCTCTCCTTTGCTTTTATTTCTCTCCTGTTTGTCATGCATCAGCACATCTCTCCTTTCCATCCATCATGTCGCATCAGCAGCTTCTCCCTCTAACACATCAAACTCTGGCCGGCCTCCAGATGGGGATCGACCCGACTGTAAATCTAATTTCCATGATTCTCTGTAGGGCTTTTAGTTTTAAAGCCCTACACGGTTGCAAGGACAACATGGCCGTGTCGCAGACTGGTCCGCGAGTCCGAAAACATCCTCTCCCCGCAAGAGAAAGTTGTAGTGTAAAACCTGTACGGCTCAGCAGAGAGAAAAGGACAAGGCTGAAGAATGTGCTGACGTCTGATGCAGAATCTGATTGGTTTCAGGTTTCAGCGGAACAAACACGCCGATGTTAAAAGCCTGTTGGAAAGTCTGCATATGTGATCTTGCCTCCACAAAACGGCCAATGGGTTGATTCCATTCTTACTGACTCACGCTGGGAGACACATTGTAAATGAGACCAACTGCTCATTTTATTGAGCGTAGGGGTATTACGTTCTGCGTCTGGTGGCCGAGCTCCGACAGTCACGGGGAAGTACAGGCTCTCTCTCTCTCTCTCTCTTCCTCCTCCCATCTTCCTCAAACAAGCACCGACACATCAATCTGAAACGAAATGGCGCTGTAAAGAGCGTGACGATGGGGGGGGGGGGCTCATTTCCCTGCCCTGGAAAAACTGCATCTGAACTACATTGTAATCACTTGTCAAATGGCAACTTCAATTGCCAAATGTAACACAATAAACACAAGTGTGCAAAAGTGAAACCATGTGTGTGCATCCGTTGGCCGCTGAAGTGGAAACAAAGAAGTGCATTTATTATTTATAAGGTCACTTAAGGTACCAACAACGCAGTTGTCAACTGAACCAGATTGTCGTCTGACACTGCATTCTGGGTGCAGATCTCTCCTTGTGCAAGCTTGGCAATGCATTGCATGGCAGCTTCATTGAGTTCCATCTAAGTGAGAAAGGAGAAAGCCCTGGCTGTGCACACAACAACTTGCATCAAGGCATTTTGCAATGGGAAATTTTGCAACCTACAATCTATTCGATTTAAAAAGCCTCATATCGCAGGACTCACCCCTGTCTCGCTCTCTCTCACTATTTAATTGTTTACGAGTCTTACCTCACTTCCCCTGTTGCTGCTGCTCATCATTTCCCCCGTGCTGCTGGTGCTGCACCTCAGCTGCAGGCTGCAGCTCTGAGAAATTGAGCTGCAAAGGGGAAAAGCCTGGGAGCAGAGCAGCAGACGCACGTGCTAACTGCAGTTATTTTATTATCTGCCACAAAAACACGATTTTCTTTCTCTTAACCCCCCCCCCCCCCCCTGGTGCACATTGGATATTGAGCCGCAGAGAGATGTGGAATGAATACGTTCCGTGTCTGTGTGTGTATAAAAAATATATATATATATATATGTATATATATATATATATATATATATGTATATATATATATATATATACATGTATATATATATATATATATATATATATATATATATATATATATATATATATTTTCATGGCGTCGCACTCCGGGGCGTGTGGGGTTTCTCCGGGGAGATATCGATAACGAGCGAGACCGCGGGGCGCTACAAAGCGCCGCGCCCTGTTAATTACGATTCTCCTAAGCGGCCGCAAGGGGCGGAAGCCACAGCGAGCACCACGAGAACAACATCAACTAGCTCCTCTCCCTCCGTTAACCACCGATAGGAAGAAGACGGCCGCAAGCGAAACAACAAATACCAAAAAAAAAAAATGCAAATATTCGATCGCTGCGGGCAGAGAAAGTGGAAAATTCCCGCGTCCTAAAGTGGTCTTTAAACTACACGCTCCGCATAACGTCACCGTTAGCGCCGCGTCCGCCGCTGAAGACAAGACCGGGGATGCGAGGACTCTGACGGACATTTAAGACGTTATATTCGACATGGCTGTGTGGTTAATACCGGGTGGGGGGTCCGTGTCCACTTAGCAAAGACCGAGCTGTCCCCCACCCGAATGTGTTTGCGCGTGTCTTTTTTTTTTTTTTGTGAGAAAATGGGCACGCGGAGCCGATAGGGCGTTTTTAAAGTGCACCTCTTCTTTATCCGTTGGACAACCGGCTAGCGTTAGCGGGCTGCCCTCCCCTCTCCGCCCCCCTCCCTTCACGACCCCCCCCCCCCATACACACACACCCACGCTGGACCTGACCGCTAACCGGACTTTTATTTCTTCAGAACAGGGGTAAAAAAGGTAAGTCGTGTCCTCCTCCTTGGTTCTGTGTAACGCAAGAAGCGCTAGAAAGACAACTGTTAGCTAATTTACTGTTCTGACCGTTAACGGTTGAAAATTTAAAAAAAGCAACGCAGCGTTGGATCCGTGAAACAGTGAAACTTCACGCTGACGTGCGTCGTCGGGGCCAGTTTGCCCGTGCTAACAATAATGTGCTTTAACTCATCTCGTGGTGCTCGCCTTTTTTCACCCAACCGCTTTTATTGACACCCACCATCTTTTACTGGCCCCCTTCGGCCCGCCGCCGCCTCCATGGCTGGATTCCGTCTCTCTAACTGCCACCGTTTCTTTTCTTTTTTTTTTTCTTCTTCTTCTGCTTCTCTGTGCAGCTCCTGCTATCGGATGAAATCTCGTCTCGTCACCCATCCCACCGTCGCCAGGGGCCTCCGCTGGCAAACTGCGTCACCGAGTGGGCGCTGCAGGTACTCGCCCCTCAATCTGCACTGTTGGGAACGTCCGGCCATGGCACGAATGACCTGGAAGCCCAAGTGACGGAGCCCGGGAGAACCGCCATGGAGCCGGAGGCCGACTCCAACCCCGAGGCCCGCCGAGAACCGAAGCATCCCCCCGAGGCCGACGCTCACCGCCGACTCCCCGCCGACATGCAGGAGGGGGCTGACGGCGCTGGCCGGCGCGTGGACTCTGCGGTGAGAGGCGGGAGTGACCCCAGCGTTGACCCCTCCAGCAGTTATCAGAGGAACGTGCACCAGAGGTTCATCAGGAGAAGCCTGTGGTTCTCCGAGGCCGACGAGCAAGCGTTTGAAGCGCCCGAGTGCGACAACAGGAATAAGATCCTGAACATAAACCTGCGGACGATAGTGGACAGGGCGCGAGGGGCCAGCTGTGGGGCGCAGGAAGGCTCCAGCACCGAAAGTCAAGGTGGGCAGAAGGACAGCGCAACGGAGAGCGCCAGTGCCGACGAGGGGAAGGATAAAAGCGCAGACGCGGCGAACCTCCCGTGCAGCGATGGTGGCAAAGCCGCCATCAAGGCCGCCAGCGAGGAGAACGAGGAGGAGGCGGAGATGAAAGCGGTCTCCACATCTCCGGGGGGAAGGTTCCTCAAGTTTGACATAGAGCTGGGCAGAGGGTCCTTCAAGACGGTCTACAAGGGCCTGGATACTGAGACCTGGGTGGAGGTGGCCTGGTGCGAGCTGCAGGTAAAGTACTGAAACCTGCACATCTGAACGTACAGTCCGTCTCTGTGGCACCCAGGCAGCGGCAGCTAGGTGCGGCACAGGCGACGCATATTCCGCAGCCCCCATGCACCCCCCCCCCAACTCCTCATTATCACTCTAGCAAATGGGCGTGGGAGACACTTAAAGTAATATCAAGTTAATTTCCGTGCAATCAGTGATTTATGCGTGAATGGAATGCCTGACTCTCTGCCGGGGGAAGGTTCACATGACGCCTCGTGGGCGGAGTCAGCCAAGTTGCAGATGGGTTCCCACAAAATGTTAAAGGGTTTATGCGGGGAAAGTGATTGACAAGCATTATCCGCTGACTTCATTAGCTAATGGTGATCGGCAGTTTTTCCAAATGCACAAGGAGTGTCTATTTTGTCTCGCGTTTCACAGACAGGGGGAAAATTACCAGCTTAGACTGTGCACAGGTATTAACTAATTATTTCTTCCTTTTGGAGACTGCAGGAGGGATTACCTCCCTCTGTGTCCCAGGAGGCTTAAGAGGGACAACTGTAAGCATGAGTGGCCCCACTCAAAGATAGAGAGCTTGTACCGCGCTTTGTTATTCTTTCAACGTTCAGATTAAAATAGCTATTTCTATATCTATATTCAAGCATTGTTCTTTTTGCCCTACTGATAATATTTGGGTGGGCAGTGCAGGAGACCTTGTATGTTGTGAGCCGTGCTGCCTCGCTGCCTCGCTCCCCTCAGTGCAACAGGAGGCAGGCCGACAGGAAGCAGCCGAAGTGCGCTGCAGCCCCGCTGCTCGCGGCAGGGCGGCCCCCGTGGCCCCCGTGGCCTCGGTGAATACTAATTCCTACTCTTCTCTCATAACCCGCCGCGTCAGTCGCACGAGTGACCGAAGAATGCATCGAACTAAACCCGTTCCGTGGGGTTGCTATCTAGAGACAGCGACGCGCTTTATCTCTAGAGAGAGGACTGTGAGGACGAGGAGGAATGAGTGGAGATGTGGACGTGCTGAGAGACGCGATGACTTCATCTGGGTGAGAGTGTCCTGCAGGCTGATTGGGGTGGCGAGCAACCTCAGAGCTCCCTCAACCTGACAACGCTCAATTGTGCTCAGCGGAGGGTAGGATGTGGAACGGGAAGCAATTACCCGTGTTTTATTCTCCCGACGTGACACGTTAACACCCCCTCTAGTGGACGGAGAATACACACTCTTAATCACAGAACAAAGGGTCGTGTTCTCATCTTTTTGTTCTTTTATATGTTACAGCTCTAAGCTTGGGTTCTTCCACGAGAGCAGTTGGAAAAACAAAACGCTGCCTTGACCCGATCAATGTGTTTCATTAGCTTACTGAGCGGATCAGAACCATTAATTGAGACTTTGTGCCTGAATCAATGAAGTCTCATGCGGGGCCTTTCCCCCGCCGATCACAACCGTGATCTCATGTCCTCTAAAGCCGCCTTCATAGAATCGACCGTCCTGTGGGTTTAACCTTCTAAGCGGTTTATGACAAGCAGTTTAATATTAAACTACTGCTGGGGCTGAATTTGGTCTCTCCAACAGTGTGGAAGATCCGCACAAAACTTAATATGATATTGCAATTTTTAAGGGCTTCAACCAAAAGTTATCTTTGTCATCGAGTAGGCTGATTAATTAATTTGTTTCTTTCCCTGTCTGTTGCATTTTAGTAAATCGATTTATTTAAAAAATGGTGGTCTGTTTCACCTTTGACTGGTTAATAAGTTAGTGTTGAAAAAATTCTGATTTTAAAGATATTTCTTCAGATGTTGGATGAACATTTAAAAACCGAGAAGATATTAATTATTATATAATAAAATATGTAAAACTAGCAAATTATTCATATTCATAAATCAATTTATTATCAAACTAACAGAAGAATAACTGCCATTAATTGATTTATCAACAACGTTTTAGCTCCAGAAATCTAATGTGAGTTTTAGACAAGAATCCGAGGTACTTCATTTTTGCAGATAGTGGATTGAAGTGCAACTCAAAATATTTTATTAAAATCAGTTTAGCATTTGTAGCCCATGTGGGATTTCCCAGCATGCTTATGTTGTCGTCGTGTCTAGGCTGCTTGTCTAAACCGAAAATCCGTGATTGCACTAAATCACCTCTTTTGAATTCAATGAATAGTTCAAGTACCAGCTGGTTTCAAATTTGCTCCCCAAATTCAGACAGGATTTGAAAGGTGCTCTTGTCATGCATGTCCACGCGGCTCAGTGTGTGAGACGCAGGAGCTCTCGGCGTCTCATAAGGAGCGAGATGAGACTCTGTGATTTTCCACTGTTTTGCCTCCTTACAGTGGTCACATGGCTTTCCTCCTCGAAATTGTAATCTGGTTTTGTGTTTATTCTCTCTCTCGCTTGCTCGCTCACTAAATCCCCTGCCCCTCTCCTCCCCTTCCCATCTCCCCCACTCGCCCGTGAGGGTGCCAGGCCGCTGGCATTACACAGATGGCCCTGGCACCGGCAAGGATGTGAGCTTAGTCACAGGGAAAGATGCCGATTGTGAGGTGTTCTTTTCTTTCCTGGGTAAAACACGTGTTTCTGTTTTTCTTTTCTTTTATCTGTATCAATGCCCGACGGAATTCCTTTTAAAAAATTTTTTTTTTTAACTTTCAAAAAACCTCCATCTTCTGCCAAGTGTGGCTCAGTGTACAGATATATATCGCAGTGTTTAATGCAGCGCGCACACTCTCATACGCAAAGTTTCACTCTGACTTCGTGCAGACTTCCTCAGTATCTGGCAGGGAGCTGGTTGTTCTGTAGATGAAGTCTGGATACCACGGCCGTCGTTGAGCTAAACAGAACCTGCGAATGACACGGCGCGTCGGGAGGAACGATGTATTAGTTCTAAACACGATTCTGCTGGATTGGCAGATTAGATGGAGCAATGTTTATTAAAGACGGCCCCGTGTTCCTGAGTAGTTGATGGATATCTCGTTGGATAATCGTGTCCCGCTCGGCAACCATCCTGTCTTTACTTGTCCGACAGCAAGAATGAAAACAAAGCTTGAGATGCTCAAGTGGGTCCTCGGCTAAAGCCCATTAGGTATGAAGACGCAACAGCTCTCCTGGTGGGCCTGAGCTCCTACGTCACTCAGACAATGGAAGAAGGACGAGCCTTTTAGAAAGCTTGTTGGAAAGTGGCGAGTCCACGGGATCGGCTTCATTTTAATTATGTTTTATAATTTTGTTTGGGCTCAAAGACAAAGTACATGGACATGGTCGCGGTAACGTCTGACGGTGGAATTATTGTTTTGAAGGCAGAGTTTTGCCTTTTAGCTGTCACCATCTCTCGCCGGGAAGTAAAAGTGGACCAATGCCGACCAAGACACAATGTTTCAGTTCCCTTTCATGAAGTAAAACGACTGTGTGAGGGTTAAAGTAGCATCCTTTCCATCACCAGGTAGCCACGCCGTTAAGCATAGCCTGCTCTATTGTTTATTATTCCAAATGTGGAAAAATAGGCGAAATGGACTTTAACATTGGACTCAGATCTCAGAATTGGCCTTCTGATTTAAAACAGTGGTTGGTATTTTAAGTCATTTTCAATCATTACATTCTAACTTTTCAAATTTTGTAAAAAAAGGTTAATATTAACACCAGCATTGATGTGTTTGGATTACTGTTGAAAGTTATAGATAGATCTGTCGACTAGGGGTCAGATTCTACGAGTCGGGGTTGTGTCCCGGAGGCCATGTTACGAAAGACTCGCTGTAGGATTCAGTGAGCAACCTCCAGACACACACCTTTAGCATACACACACTCTCGCCGTCTAACTTTGAACTGGAGAAAATGTAAGCAGCCTAAATGGCCTCTGACCTCCCTCGGCAAAAGAAATTGTACCGAAAGCTCATTAGGGCGAGTAATCCCTTTTGGAATTTAAAAAGGTGATTTGTGTGAATGAATTCGGAGCACCTTTGGTACGGCGTTAAAGCCTCCTGCTTAACGTAGGCCGCGTGGAATGAAGACGAGGGTTTCTGTAGATGCACACTCGCGTTGACCTCTTGGGCACTAAGCTATTTACGTAACTGGCGGGGAAACAAATGGCCGCACAGTGGCACTTAATCTTAAGTTCACATTCATCATGACACTTCGTAATAGCAGAAAGCTTGTTATGTTCAACGCCTGAACCATATTTTACTGTTTAACTTTAACACTGTTAAAAGTGTGAGATTTGCGTGTCTTGTTGAGATTTGGATGTGTGGTTTGTAAACACCTTCTTTCTCTGTCTTACCTGGTTCTCAAGCTTAATGTATTTAATGTGAGAACTAGATGGGAAGCATGTAATCCTATCCGAATGACTCTTATATTCACCTATAGCAGAGACACACCTCTAGATTGACAATAAAAAAGTAAAAGTAGGGATTTTAAAAACAAACAACCACATTATGACATTTATTATGGCCACATAATAAATATTGTTATCAAGCCTTCACTCTTACGAACTTGCTATACTTGAACTGGACTGAACTGTGATCACATATTCAAATTCAAAATTGATAGCCCATAAATGAATTATTAGGCAACCAGCTCCTTGCACGCTCTGGCTGCTCGTCTGTGGGCGAATCCGTCTCCTCTCTCTCTCTCTCTCTCTCTCTCTCTCTGTGAAGCAGCCCATCAAATCAAATGGCCACAAGCTCCACTACAGGAACTCGAATTAAAGCATGTGCACCTCCCAATCTTCTGTGGCCACGAGTTCCATCGACTGCAAAAAAACAAGCGTGTTGTAGGAGCTCGCTCTCTAACGCTGCCGTCCCTCGGGGTCCAGAGACGATACGCAATGACGGGGATAGTTCTGGGACTCCTTGGGACAGCCATGGTGTCCACCTTCAGCGGCTCTGGCCAAATTCTAACGCAGTGCGTGTTGCGGAATCAGTGGTTGCTTGCACCACGAGGTGTTAGAGCGGGACGGAAACACACACACACACACACACACACACACAAATTCTGGCTCCCTGTAGATAGGGCATCTTTTGTAG